CATCAAGCTGCCCACCACAAGACCGATCCCTTCATCAGGCACCACTAGCCCCGATCCCATCAGCCTGTAGTTGGGATACTGAATTACATTTGCCATATTATGCCCATTCTCCCAGTTGGAGCTCCTCACGATAAATGCCACTTTGCAGCCCATTCTTAATTCCAGATCATTTATGAATGACTTGCAAAGCATCAGTACAAATCCCCGATTCCCTGTAGGACCCCACTGCTTGAATCCTGCCCTTGGGAGAAGTCAGGTTTTTTTCCCCACTCTCTGCTTTCTATTCTTTAACCAGTTGCTGATCCCTTTGCAGACCTCCCCAGCTCTCATTCTATGATCACGAAGATTGCTCTGGAGTCTTTGGTGAGAGTGGCTGGGCATCTAGGACTGGCTGAGGCAGTATTAGGGGCTGCTTGTTAGGACCTGATCTGCTCCACACTTCTTATGAAGAATTCTATTGATTTACAGCTCAGAGCTGCACAAAGAGATGTTCACAAAAAGAGAAACCAGTGAGTAATCCATCCCCAAGAAACTTCAAACTCGAACAGATAATAAGATATAGAATCTCTCTTAAAAATAAAAGCATTCTTGGAAAAGGAATCAAACCAAAGCAACTCTAAGCATGCTCTGAGTCAGCCCAAGACATTTTTGCTCCAGATGCAAATGGTACCCCCAGTGAAGGCACACAGCTACAGAATTCAAAATCCCACAGAAATTTCTGTCCCACAGGGGCAGAAATTTCTCCCCCTCTCTGTCAGAAAATAAAACAAAACCAAGACAATAAATCAAACAAGTACCTGTTAGCTGCTCTTTCATGACATTCAAAATCCACTGGCTGAGATGAGTTAGCCACCTAACTCATCCTGCAGAATAGAGCTCTTCATGGACAGCAGTTTAGGACTGAGATGCTGGGCCACAAGAGACTTGGTGCTGACTGGTTTCATCATTTCCCCAGGAATCTCCTGTCTGGGCACTATCTCAGCCAATTGTCAAGCACAGTTGGAAGAGCTACCTGGGACTGGCATGAGAGGTGCAGCAGCAGGGAAAGGGGTGGGGCAAAGCCAGTGGGGTAGGAAGGCTTAGCATGCTCAGAAGAATTGTGATGGAACCCATGTTGGATGTCCATTGGAGAACAAGGGCTTGTTCTGGGTCAATTAATCTGTCCCCAGCCATTCCCAGGGCTCTCCAGGGGCTTCCCTGCCAACACATCCACACTATCTGACATCCTGAGTAGGAGCACTCCACACTGTAAGCTTTTGTTACAGCTCTTGGGCAATGAGCTATGAATTTGAGTATGAAATTCATATGAGTATGAATTTGTTTACAAACTGGATTGGCATTCCAGTCCACCCTCTCCCACCCTCAAACCCTCCAGATGTGCTGAAGTGCAGCCCATTATGTGGGTTTTCTGGGAAGTTTTGAACTGGGATATTTTCCTATGCATATTTGGCTAATTTGCATAGGACATTTGCATGAGAATTTTTTTGGAATGCCATGCTGTAAGTTGGAGTCCAACACACCTGTAGAACATTAGGCTGGGGCAGGCTGCTCTAATTATGCTCCATAAGTCCAAATACTTATGCACAATATACATAATATTTGAAGGATTGCCTCTCTCAACAACCGTCTACCTGGAAGTCATGATCAAAGGCCATAGCCTTATTCCACATGCCAACTCTGAGGGATGCTTGATGGCAGCAGCCAAAGGGAGGGCTTTCTTTGTGGTGGCTCTCCACCCCACCCCACCCCAACACACACTGAGGCCTGCCTGACGTCAACCTTCTCATCTTTTTGGTGCTGAGTTAAGAAAGCCTTTTATACTGAAGCTTTCAAAGATATACATGAATATTCTTCAATACTTTCTCACCCCAGGTGTTTTTGCAGGGCTACTTTACATGGTATGCTGTTTTCAGCTCTTTTTAATTTTTTTGTTTTATAATGGTCACATTTTGAAAAAGTTGTTATGGCATTTTATTGTATTGTTTTTATCAACTGCTGAAAACTGCCCAGGGAGCTGTGGCTATTGCACAGTACAGAAATGAAATTAATAAATATGCCAATAACCAGTCATCTATCTCAGCATGGCTTAATTCTTTCATTAATGGTGCTGGAGCACCTTTGGTTTTGCTGTCGCTACTTATCCATGTCATACTGAGCTATACATGTCAGGTCTCCCTGACCTTCATGGACCTTGGGCACACTTGGCGATTTGAGACATTCTTGTGGAAACTGTCACAAAATAGCTCCCATGAGGGTCTGGCAATTCAAGAGGCACATGGATGTGGTGGTGCTGGATGGACAAAAAATCATTCTACGGGCTGGTAGGGGAGGGGGAAATGGAAAGAGTTGCTTCTTGGACCAGCCAGGCACCTTCTGTCTAGACAGACCTGTCCCCTTTCCTCTCCCAGCCCCTAGTCTGGTTGTTTCTCTTCCTTCCTGCTGCTTTCTTTCCCTCCAGCCAAGGCCTGCTCTTCCTGTTCCACTCACCCTTTGATCTTGCTCCAGTATTTATCCACCCACAGCCTCTAGCCTTGCTATTTTCTTCCCTACCTCTTGGCCTTGCTCTTTCTCCCCTCTCCTAGCCTCACTGTTGTTTCTCTTCCTTCCACCCCTTTGCCTCCCTTTAGCTTCAGGAAAAAAGGGGGAAAACTTCTAGTCTACACTCTTACATTTTTACATTTAAAATACTTTTGTAGGGAACAGGGAGTCAAGAGCTGTGAGAAGACCTACTGGAGGACCCTTGAACTGTAGCAGCTAAAGGTGTGAAGGCTTTGAAAAAAGAAGGGAAAAAGCATTTAGGGAAAAAATAATGAGAGGTCACAGGATTCTTCAGCGTCCCAGCTAGAGGACCTTGGAGCTGTGAAACTGAAAGATGAGCTGCCACCTTGCCTCCTGGCAGCCTGTGTGGAAAGAATGGCACTACTGAGGTTGCAACAGGGCCTCAGGGAGGGCAAAAGGGGTGTGTGGGGGGCAGGAAGTGAAGGAGGCTGGAACCACAGACTTGCACCAGTTCCAAGCAGTGCCCTGGCTTCCTTCCCTCCCCTTCTCTCGCACTGATACTGAGAACTGCCATCTAGAGAAAACACCCAGCGCAATCACAGTGCTGGCAATCATTGGCGTCAAACCTCAAACCCCAGCATATAATGCTCTGAGTTCAGCAGGTTAAGTTAACCTGCCGTGGGGGTGTCAGGATTGCATACTAAAGCAGCCTTCCCCAACCTTGTCCCCTCCAGCTGATTTGGAGTACAACACCAAGCATGCTTGGCCATTGAACATGCAGCCTGATGCTGACGGGAATCCAAAATAAGTGCAGGTCACCCAGCTCATGGAAGTTGACCTGATGGCTTTAGATCAAAGTGACCAAAGTGGCTTTTATATTGTGAGTCCTTTATATGTACTGTGAACTGTATTTTTAAATTGTTGTATAATATGTTGTGAGTTACCCAAAAAGCCTTGTGGCTAATGGGGCTGTATACAGGACAAAACAAATAAATAAAAAGGTCTAAAAACTATTACATTTCAAATTTCTTAAAACATCTAGTTTTACACACACACAACCCCCAGAATAAAAAAAAAAAAATTTCCTACAGTTTTAAAATGTCTGGAAAATTTACATCTCTAATTTCAGTGGCATGTAGACATCTTTTCATAGGGATGATCACCTGAAAACTTGGAAGCTGCCAAGATTTCTTGATACTGTATTTGCACTTGACATCCCTTAATTATTTCTAATGCATCTGTGACATGAGAAAGCACTGAAAATAGAATCGTGCCCTATCTGTAGAAAATGTTCTACTCCATGTCGCTATCTACAGGTTCCATTACCTAGGTATTTTTACATTCATACTCCAAAGGTAGGAAATGTACAAAGCCCTTTTACAAAACAGTCCTAATACTCCAGCAGCCCAAGTTAGATGTTCTTGCACCTTTCCATAGCCATGAAAAATCAAGGTTACATAACAAAATGCACACCATGCCCAAAGCAACCTGTGTAGCCGCAAACTGAGCACTGCCCAACTGGGACATTTTAAAAGCCAACAGCATTTACTAAATGCTGTTATTACACTGAGCAATCCGTTCTGGCAGCATCCAATCTAATTATACTGAGATATGGTTTGTTGAGAAAAATAATATTTTCAAATGATTGAGTGGGGGAAATGGCAGAAGTTCTTTCATTGACAACTCCCCAGAGCTGAACTGATGTGTACAGGAGAAGGCCAAGCTGACAAATGAAGACAGATCACATTTAGTGAAATTACAACTTCAGATATTCAAGAAGAAAAGGAAAAATAAGGGTACTATACATTTTCAAACCACCCAACAGCCTGAAGGCTCTCTCTTCATTTTGCTATGAGGAAGGTGATCCAAATTCTCCTAAGCCTGCCATTCTTCTTAAGTCTTAATAATGGGAATAATATGATGCACTTGATGGTACTTTAGAAAGATATTAGAAAGGTATAGCAAGTAGGGAGGGAGGCGTGTGGGGAAGGAACAGCCTACTTCCCCCATTACTTCTGTGTGGGAGGCTTCCAATTTTCCATAATAGGATGAGCATAATTTTGCTCTATGGAGAGGGGAGCAACATGTTTTTCTAAGCATAAAGCCCGCGTATTTGTATGCTGCCTTATGTGCCAATCACACATGCATTCATTTCACAGCAATTTCATGTCAGCCTTCTCCAACCTGGCGCCCCCCAGATGTGTTCAACTGCAACTTCCACCATTCCCAGCCAGAGGTCCAACAGAACCGGAAGGCACCAGAGCACAACGAACCAATGCATGCGCGAGCAAGCCACCCGTTCCCCCCCCCACCCCTAGTGCCGACGGCGAAATGCGCCCACACGTGTGCTCCACGTTCTCTGTGGCACAGCAGCCTTTCCCGGGGTGCAAAAGTGCGTTAAGTGCCACAGGTGAGGCCCCCAGCGCAGGAGCGAGAGAGAGAGAACAGCGACAGAGGAAGCGGGGCGGGAGACCCTTCCCGGGGGTCTTCGGCTCACTTACCTATCGTGGAGACCACGGTGCCCACGAAGTAGAAAGCCCCCGGGAAATCCCACCGCGGCCGCATGTCGTTGGCTCGGACGCCGGCCACGTAGGCGACCTCGTACTCGCACAGGAACTCCCGCAGCTCGGCCGGGGAGAGGTTGTACCTCTGGGAGAAGTTCTCCAGCCGCGCCTGCCAGCGCTCCTGCGTCTCCCGCTCCGTGGGCTGCTCGAGGGCGGAGAAGACGGCCGCCCCGCACAGCATGTACACGGCGATGAGCGCGGCCAGGAGCACGAAGCGGGTGTTATCCTCGTTGAAGGCGCCCACGCTGGATGGGCAGCAGCAGCAGCAGAACCCGCGGCACGCCATCCCGCTCTGCCGCCGCGCCCGGCCGTGCGCCCTACCGGAGCGCCCCCCCACGGCCCGTCATCCCGGCGCCCCCTCCCGCGACGCGCCCGGCGGGCCCCGCGCAGCAAGCGGGCCAGGCGGCAACTGCTCCCCGGCGCGGTGCCGGAGTCAAATCAGCTCCCGAGGCCGGGAAGGGGCAGGCGGGCATCGCGGAGTGCCCCCGAAGGCAATGCCTGGATCAGGCGGCGCGGCGCGTCTTGCTTGCAATCCTGCGCCGCCGCTGCTCGAGGCGATCTCCCGGCACGTGGCCGGGCTTCCTCCGCGAGGTCCGCCCGGCTTGGGGCGCCGTCTGCAGCGGACGGCGCTTGTTAAACATGGAGACGGGGAGCGCGTGCCCCTTGCCATACGCAGGGCGCATCTTCCCCATGGGGGGTCAGCACAGTCCGCTGATCTGTCCCGCACATCTGTCTGCAGGACTAGGCTGCTTTCAGCTGCGGCGCCTCATTTTTAAAGTAACGGCGCGCCACCCTTCTCATTTTGCGAAACCAGCGACTGCCGGGGGGCGGGGATGTCCCGGCTCGCCCCTAGGACGATCCCCACGGGGGCGGGGGAAAATCGTGCCGGGGCCTAAAGGAAGATAACTGGCCTCCTCCGCCCCCGTGCCGGTTTCGGCGACTTCTTTAGCTGCTCCTCCAACTCTTCCAAAGGGTCCTCCAGTCGCTCTCGGCTCGTTCCGCGCTTCGCGGGGCACGCTCGGCTGTCGCTTCAGGGGGAGGAAGGCAGCGCTTCGTTCCGCCGCCTCGGAGCCCCGCTTCAAAGTTGCAGGCGGAGCGTTCAGCGGTGCGTCCAGCCGGCCCGGGTACTCAGCGGCCGCCTCTGGGTCGCGCGCTCGCGGGGACCCGGGAGGGAAATCCGCAAACTCTCCCCGGCTTCGCGAGGGGCAGCGCCGGTGCGAGGAAAGAGGTCGCGCTCGGTGTCTCAGCGAGCGAGCCCGATCGCGGGAGCCGCTTATGCCAACCCTTGCCCGGTGGAAATAAGCGGCGGGGCGCGCGGGAGCTCGCAGCCTTCCCCGAAGTTACTGGTCTGGAGCAGAACACGCCAAGCCTGGAGCGCTAGTAGGTCTCTGCAACCGGCGATCTCTCGCTTTCTCTGCCCCCACACCCCGATTTGCAAGGAGCCACCGAGCCTCGCAGCCTGGATCCCGAAGGGGGCGTGCCCCGCGCAGCATCTGCCACCGCGCTCGAGTCCTCTAGGGGGCCAGGTTACCCCGAGCGGCGACCTGCCGGAGCAAGGGAGCGCGCTCTGCTCGTGACACCCCTGGGTTGAGAAAGATTTCTGGAGCAGGTTCCCCGGGGCCCTCGTCTCTCTCCTCAGGAAAGCACCGCGAATCTTCTCCCGCCGGTGCCCGTGGCTGTTTTGCGCGCGATTTCTGGGGCCACTGAGTGTTGTCTCACGTGTTCCTTCTTGTCTCCTGCGCCCTCGGCGGCCTCGACCGGAGGCGCATCCGTGGCTCTTGGACGGGCTCGGTACTGCCGTAAGCCTTCCTCCATCGGACTTCGGTCTCTGGAGCTGGCCGGTGGCACCTTGACTCGTCCCTGCCCCTGGCGTCGGCTGTGCGGTAGCGAGCCACCACTGCCTTGAGGCTTTTGCGCAAACCAGGCCGCATCTCCGCATACATAACAGCGGTAGCTGTAAGGGGAGGCCCTGCAGGGCTGGAGCGCTGTATACCCCATGGGCACCTGTTGAAATGATGGAACAGTGGCCATGTGGTCCTCTCCCCCTGGATTAGCTGGCTTTTTCCCCACGAGTCCCCCTCCTGCTTGACTCTTTCTGAGGCAGAAATTCCCTCCACTGTCTATACATCCCATTTTACAAATAGGATGTCTTTAAGATGTTGTTAGTCGCGAAGTCGTGGTGACCGATCGTGACCCCATGGGCAACATTCCTCCAGACCTTCTTGTCCTCCACCATCCCCCAGAGTCCACTTAAGCTCACGCCGACTGCTTCAGTGACTCCATTTAGCCACATGAATCTCTGCCATCTCCTCTTTTTTGCCATCTATTGTGCCCAGCATTAGTCCAGTGAGTCCTTCCTTTTCATTAGGTGGCCAAAGTCTTTGAGTTTCATCTTCAGTATTTGGCCTTCTAAAGAGCAGTCAGGGTTGATCTCCTTTAAGATTGACTGGTTTGATCACCTTGCAGTCCAAGGGACTCACAGGAGTCTCCTCCAGCACCACAATTCAAAGGCCTCAATTCTTTGGCGCTCAGCCTTCCTTATGGTCCAAATTTCACAGCCATACATTGCAACTGGGAAAACCATAGCCTTGACCATACGCACTTTGTTGGCACAGTGATGTCTCTGCTTTTTAGTATGCTGTATAGATGTGCCATAGCTTTCCTACCCAGGATCAAGCGTCTTTTAATTTCTAGGCTGCAGTCCCCATCTGCGGTGATCTTGGAGCCCAGGAAAATAAAATCTGTCACTACCTCCATTTCTTCCCCATCTATTTGCCAGGAAGTGAGAGGACCAGATGCCATGATCTTAGTTTACTTAATGTTGAGTTTCAAGCCAACTTTTGCACTCTCCTCCTTCATCCACATCAAGAGGTTCTTTAGTTCCTCTTCACTTTCTGCCATAAGAGTGGTATCATCTGCACATCTGAGGTTGTTGATATTTCTCCCAGCAATCTTAATTCCAACTTGTGATTCATCTAGCCCCGCCTTTCACATGATGTGCTCTGTATATAAGTTAAATAGGCAGGGCGACAGTATACAGCCTTGCCGAACTCCTTTCTCAATTTTGAACCGATCAGTGGTTCCATGTCCAGTTCTTTAAGATAGGGTCCTTCAAAAACACCCCAACTTGGGGGTATAAGTAAATTGGCATGTGCAAATTTGTGCTTTTGGTGGTGGTCCTGTTTACCTGAGCCCTGGATCCTTTCAGTACCTAACACCAAATTGGAAGGGATTCTTCTAGGAGCTTAACATTCACTTGGTGTATGTCCCAGAACCAAGAGTTTGGTTGTACTTTAGTCTAAAGCAGCAAGGAGGTTACAACAAGCCACACACCCTCAGAATAAGAACAAGTGTTCATTGGCTACGCCAACACAGATGCTGTTGCTAGGACAAAAGTAGGCCCTTATCCAGTCAGGATTTTCTTTTTAAAGACTAACCTACCATTTTCATGGACTAGAGTCCACACCATCAGATGCACTAAGTTATTCTCAGCTGGTAGATCTATAAGGATGCATATACAATGGAGAAAAGAAAGATCACAGGACAACAACATACAACTCAAGAAATAAATATGTGATAATAAAGTTACAAGATTGAAGGTAAAATCCAATGCAAGCTTAGACAGGAAAAAAGTCTACAACTCCTAGCATGCCCCAACCAGCATAAATCTGTGCAAAAAAGCACAGTGAGTAGTCACAATTGCAGAAATTAAGTTGTCACTAATTTCACTGACATAAACAGGCCAGGCTGGTCACCTTTGTGTCAGTCGGACTCCTTATCCATTGCAGCTTTTATTCTGAGTTTTACAGGAGTGATACATCCTGGCAAGCCAATTTTGGAGTTCAGCACCATGGACAACTCATATAAACCTCAGACTAAACCCTGCAATGCTTGAGGAGCCCCACTGGCAGAAGTCACCAGCCTCCCCTGCAAACACACTGCCTGTCAGTGTAAGGTAGTTTACAGTTGACAATAATTGCTTATGTGCCAATAGACACAGTACAAAAGAAAAAAGGAATGGAAAGTTAAATTACCAACTTCAATAATGTTGTGTGACTGTTAATCTACTTCTTTGTTTCACTATCCTGAACACAATTCTGCTAAGGCATAAAGATATGAAGCTTTCCAAGGTAGCGTAACTTTCTGTTCCAGTACTTTGGATGGGTTTATAAGAATACCAATCAAACTATCAAGCATTATGTTAATAAGATTAACATAATGTTTGATAGTTGCATCTATCATTGAAATGCCTATCAATCTATCATTGAATATGCTGCTATCAAAGTACCCATTAAATAAAGCCCTTGTAATAGCCTGTCATAGGGAAAGTGGTATAGAAGACACGGTTTGGAATGGGGTAAAATTGGGTAGGGATCATGAATAGGTTTGCATGAAGCTAAGACACACCCAATGTGTGCCTGTTTTAAATTCAAAACATTGGCTTGCCCTGTAAAAACCAGATCTACACAGCCAGTGCAAAAGCATTCTTTGGAGAGATTTGCTGAATATTCAAAATGTGACCTTTCTTTTCTACATAAAGACATAAATATACAATTTTGCTTCCTGTGCACGTGTGGCACAAGTGGATTGAATGCCTGTGTAGTGTAGTGGTTAAGAGTGTGGGACCGGGACTCAGGCAATCTGGGTTCTAGTCCCTGCTCAGCCACTGGGCGTCTTTGGGCCAGTCACAGACCCTCAACCCAGCCTCACAGGGCTGTTGTTGTGGGGATAAGACTGAGAGCAGGAGGAAGAGAATTATGTAAGCTATTTTGGGCTCTTTAAAATAAAAGAGTGGGATACAGATCTAATAAATAATAATTGTGCCTATATTGGGCAGATGAATGCCAGCAATCCCAGAGAAACATTTTGAATGTCCAAGAACTCAGATGTGCCTGATACAGTGATTACTTCAATCTACTGATCAACATTTGCTCATGTATGTTGAAAAAAGTGGGAATATATTTATTCTCAGGCATTCCCAGCAACTATATGAGTTATAATAATACAAGCCCAGATAACAAAGTGAGGAAAGGTAGCATAAAGTTCAGGAAGTAACCAGCATGGTTAATGCATAGTCAAAGAAGCCATTAGGGAGGAGGAGAAGGGAGAAGAAAGCTTAGGAAATTGAGTAGGCAAGGCTACACCTATCAGGCAACTGTAAGACCACACTTAATACCAACAAAAATGCAAATATGAACTTGTGCAATTTTCAGGGATCATTTTTATAAAAAAGAAAATAGAATTCCAATTGGGATTTTTTGACATTCTGAAAAATTGTGCCAAATACAAAGAAGTAGCAATTGAAACAGAGATGGGAAAACAAGATAGGTTCTGCTGCAAACACTGAGATATTCAAATGCCTGAGCCTGCTAAAGAGGAGAGCAGCCCATGGTAAGTCCATCACCTGTTGTGCATTCCATAGGTTTAGTAAACGCCCAACCTGCCATGGCTTATTTGCAAGGTGGCTTAGCATGACATGTGAATGCACCAATTGACTTGAAAGTGCAGTTTAAATGAGATTCTGCAGTTGGAAGAGCTAGAAACAGTGATTTCACACACAATTTATTGCCTTGCCTGGCTCCCATTTTGACTGGTAATTTTTCATATTTAATACATTTTAAAATCTTGACAGTGTGGAAAGATCAGGCGTCACAAGTCACCAGCAACTACTAGGAACATACACCATATAGCTAGTTAGAATGGAAGCCCTACAATTTTCTGGGTACTCAATTTAGTCAGAATGCATAATTATTTGTATTCACTTTCAGCTGCAAATTAGCATCAAACAGTCTTACCAAATGTTGCTTTTATAGCTTTAAAAAAATCTTGCATGATCTCTAAGGCCTTTCAGTTTTGGCTTTGGGAACCTTGGTGGGAAGGAATAGTAATCAACTGTTTTTCAAAGTATGAATTAGAATAGAGGGGCATAGACTGTTTCCTGACTGATCCTACTGCAGATTGTTTGGGACAGGAGAGAGAGAGGGTAAATCCACATAATTATTGCAGCAGAGCAGGCTGTGTGCAAGGGATCAAAGCCTTACCTTAAAGTCATTGTGCTTAGAACCCTTCCCCTGGCATATTAAAATAGAGTTGGTAATGACAGCCTTACTTCCCATCAGGAATTTGTGAAGTATAATATAATACCACATAATACCATTTATGATTACTGCTACTATGGTTGATGTAACATAGTACAGTCACACAGTAGAATACAGAGGCTATTTTAATCAAAATATAGGGATACTGTACATTTTTAGCTGTATCCTTCCAAAATTGATCACTTTCATCAGAATAGCAAACTTTTAAGATACAACTAACAAATGTATATAGACTATACATCTGCAGTTTGAGAAAAAAACCATGATTTCTAACAAATCCAACAATACCCCAGTGTTGGCTTGTTCTGACATATGCTTGTTTCATGAGGTGATGCCAAACCATAGTTCTTTACTGAGTGGGGTTTGGGGCTCCTATTCTTGTCTCCTCTTCACATTCTGCCTACCAGTTCCATCCTTGTGTAACATAAAACTATGGTTTGCAGTTGCTTTCCAAACCAAAGATTGATTGTGGCTTGTAATTCTATTTTGGAAGGCTATTTAAGGTAAACATAATAACTTGTTCTTTCACAAAAAATAGCAATACATTAAAATGGAGAAGGGAACATGCCTGCCAAACACTCATTATTCATCATGGTTGTTTTAGTAAAAAGCTGGGCAACAAGTAGCCCACTGCAGCTGTTCCCTGACATTGCCAAAGAAATCTCAGCAAAATGCTTTGTGGGTTCTCTGGAGAACTATTCTGCTGTGGAACAAAGCATGTTCTCACAACTTGTTTCCCTAAATTGCTTGACTGCCAGTGGCAGCCACTTCCATTTCTGGATGGCTAATACAGTCCCTGCAAGTCGCTAATACTGTCCGTACAGGGTTCTGAAGATGCCCACACCTGGTTTATCCAAACCAAAACATTCTTTTAACTAAGGCAAACCATGTATACTTGGAATTAAATCCTGTTGGAATCAACGAGACATACTGCTAAATAATAAAAGTTAGAATTTAGTTGCAGAATATATTCCTACATTGTTCCTAAGTAATAATGTGAAAGCAGCAGAATTAAAATATAACTGCAGGGTCATTGCAGTATCTTTTTCTAAATAAAATTATATAATCCTTTCCTATAAATAACCATGTATCCATGTTGATGAGTCTTATCAGTGTACACAGCAACTTAATAAAAGGAATCCAATGTCTGGTTATCACTTAGGAAGCAACAGGTCGAGTTATTTACTCAGTGTTATACAACATGTGTCAGCTGAAGAGCTCAGTCCTATACATATTTACTCAGTCTCATCTAGTTTACTGGGTGCGGGGCGGCTATTCAGGACGAAAGCAACACTTGGATAGCAACCCAAGTTGCTTTTTTGAGCCTTCACCTGAAAATATTCCCATCCCCATGGAATATTTTGCAAGACAAAATGTCTTTGCCTAGTAAGTTATTTAACTGGCAAAACATAAATGAATAGCATAACCACTGATGCCTATAATTTCCATAACTGAACATTTATGGGTTGTCCAAAAGTACATAAAGCTAACTTTGTGGAAATGTACTTCAAAGAGGTTTCATTGTCCAAAGGGGCTCAGGCAATATTCTGCAATGATGGTGATAAATTTATCATCATCATCTCACCTTTTTCCTTCCAAGGAACTGAAGGTGGCTAAGATAATTCTCCTCCTCCACTCTATCTTACTGTCACAACAACCATGCAAGATAGGTTGGACTGAGAGTTTGTGACTGAAGGAAAGTCACTCATTTCACTCCATGACTGAAGATAATCCTGTACTACTTAGAGTAAGAACCACCAAACTTACCATTGAGTAGACATGCACAGGACTGAGATTTCACCTGTTTAATTCCATTTAATATTAAAATTATTCTATGATACTCTATAAATTGGTAAATAAAGCTTCGGCATTCCATTTCCTTGTACTATCAAATATTGTCAGCTTGGCTATACCAACATTTGTGGAGAAAAAACTTGCTCATGCAAGAAAGGGAAACAAAGGAAAGGCGGAGTTCTTGTAATCAAGTCTTTTTATTAGCTTTATTTCAACTATACAACTTTTTTCTTCATCATGGCCATTATTTCCAGGAAAAGCAAACATGGTTGAAAATGTTTAGGTCACAATATAAAGGTAGCCACCTGACATAATTCACATGGCTTTTTCAAAATAGAGTAATTAAGTTTATAAATACATTTTTAAAAGCATTATATCATCATGAGAACTAGAGACACTGCACTTTGTTAGTTTCTAAAAAATACTGTCACTTTAAAAATAATCTGTTTTAAAGAAATGGATTTCATCATCTGTACAATCCTGTTTTTCAAATGACCAAGTCTTACAGGCACATACAAGTGGGCCCAGAAAGCAGGATGATGAATTTTTGAGTGAACTTGAGTTATTCATTTAGGAACCCACATGTTTCCATGTGAATCAGGAGCTTTGGTGTAGGGAATATTCCAAATCCATGGACGATCTACAAATATGAAGAAAAGGGAATATTCACATGAACAGAGTTTAACACTGGAGCAAATTTCTGAAGGGAAATTATCAGAACCTAGGTAAACAAACAAGTATGCTGGAAGTGAAAGAAAAGCAATGGTTTAATTGGAATGGCATTATAGAAACACACACGTGTGTGACAGTATGCAAGAGAGCAGGTCTCAAGAGACAGTGTCCATCTGACAGTCTGCCAGAATTTATTCATATCCCCAAGCATAACTAAGTGAAGAGTAATTTTCCAAGTTACACATTCTTCATTGTTCCATTTCACAAACCTTGCCACTAACAGCAGCCTTTTACACTACAATTAAACATTTCCATTATCTCAAGAGTAGTGATTAAAAGTGCACAGGCAAAGACAAAGCTTCTTGTCTCTGTTCTCTGCCTCTACACTGTTACAAAGTTCATGTCATTCCGGTCTACTGCCTTATTTCTTACTGATTTCTGACAAAATTACAGGGCAAAAACATTTCATTAGGGGAATAACTTTAAAACTTAAAGTTATAAAGTATAACTTTATACTTTAGCATTAACACGTAAATGCTAATTTCTCTTGACCAAGATTTGTTGAAATTGTCAAAATTTCACTTTAGATTCCTAGGATCTAAGAGCCAGAGTCTGACACACAATTTTAGTGTGATTGGCCAATAGGAGAAGACTTAAATAGCCAGATAAATACTTCAAGCCAATCCAAGCTTGTAATTATGGGGAGACATTTACTACTTTTGGGAGAGGGCCCTTCACTGTCCAAATTAGAAATAAACTGGTCATGTGAAAGTAATGGATGAAGAACACCTGTGCACGTAGCAGATGGAACAGAGACGTTCATGGGTTGGGATGGGTTGTAGGACCAGACACAAAGGAAAATTATTTATTTGCATGAGTGGGAAGTAGAAAAGAATTTCACAGCACATAATAGCAGTTGGAAAAGATGAGCTACTAAAGCATGGCTTGGCTGCAGCAAAGTCAGGACTGTGAAGTTAAAATAGGAAATCATTTGGCTGAAATTTCTACAAACACAAATTTATTACAATTTTACACAACAAAATTGTTATTATTAAATTTGTCTCTAGCCCTCCCTCATAATGCTGTTAAGTAGATTAGGCTGACTTGCCCAAGGTGACCCAAGGAACTTCACAGATAAGTAAGGATTTAAACCTGAGCATCCAGTAGAAACCCAATACTCTAGATATGGGCTCTAGAGAAAAAAAAAAATGGAATGGGGCTGGCAGAAGCTGAATTCCTCGGCCGCCATTGGCAATCTTCAGAAAAGGTTCCCCTAAGGATGGGTGACCATAGTGAATGGGCCAAGCTGTGGTGCAAGACCTGAATCTAAGCCTGAGATCTTGATTTATTATAGTATGACTAAAGGTGATACAGACATCTGTGGCCAGATGATCCACATATTTTTAAAGAAACTATTATTTTGTGGAACCAGTACCGCCAACAATAATGTGAACATCCCCAAAGAATGCTCTTTCTACTCGACTTGGGTCTAAAGTTGAGGGTAACACTATTGCTGATACCAACAGAAGGTGCAGGAACCATCTCTGTGGACAATGTAGTAACAGACAGTTGCAACACAGCAACAATGCATTGCTTGAAACTGTTTTCTGTGCTCAACTGAAGAAGCTGACAGGTGTAGTTAATGTAAACAGCTTGCCTAAGGTGCAAGTGCTATGATCAGAAGATATTTTGGGTAATTCAAAGAGTTATATACCTGTAATTGTTATATCAGGGATTGAGAACATCCAGCCTGTGAAATCTCTATACTTGGCCCACTGCCCCCTAGAACTCCTCCTCACTCATCACCATGGTGGGATTAAAACCTTATCTCCCCATTCACACTATAAAGTGGGAAATAGCTGAGCAACAGGAAAAAGGGGGCAGCTGCAAAGTTCAGAAAGAGATTAGTGCTTCTCCTTTAGCAGCTTTGCTTCAATGTATTGTAGGCCCCCAGAAAGAGAAACACTGCACACTTCTTGGAGTACTGCAATGAAGCAGGGATTAGATCTGATGGCCTTCTTGGACCCTTGCAACTCTATTTCATGATTCCGTGATCTGATGTCCATGTACAAATTGTATTTGTGTAGGAAAGGGAGTATGCATGGACATATGTAAATGAATTTAGCTCCACCAACCCTAACCCTAACCCTTTCCTTGAGGGAATGAGGGGCTCAGCTTTTAAAAGGTTATCCAAGCTGTGCTATACTATTATTATAGATAAGTTAATGACACACTATATTTAATGCTTAAAAACTGTAGGGGGAAAGAGTATTATTTAGATTAGACACTGCTCTTCTTAGTATTAGGTTTCTTAAAAAGTTAAGTACTGAACCTGAAGACCTTTTTGCAGCTCTATTATGTTCTTGAAAAGTGACTAACAAAGGTAACTTGTTTAAAACCATCACCATGGTATTTTCATTTTATAGCATTCTTTGAGCATATTTGACCTCAACACTGTGCTACAGAGCTGCCCATTACATATACTTAGGTTTTTTCAAAGGATAGAGCCACATAAAAAATGAGCCAGTGTGGTGTAGTGTTTAAGAGCATGGGACTGGGACTCAGACGATTTGGGTTCGAGTCCCCACTCAGCCATGGAGCCAACTGGGTGACTTTGGGCCCGTCACAGACTCTCAGCCCAACCTACCTCACAGGGTTGTTGTTGTTGTGGGGATAAGATAGAGGAGGAGAATGATGTAAGCTGCCTTAAGCCCTTTGTAGGAAAAAGGCAGGCTATAAATTGAAAAATAAATAAATAAATAATTGTGCTGTATTTCCCAACTGAAACAGCATTCTTGCTCTGTGCTAAAGGAGTGTCAGACTTGATTTTTAAAATTTCTTATTACATCCAAAACCCATGTTTTCCCTGCAAAGAACCCAAGGAAGCTTACAGAACCCTCCACTCTATGATATCTTTGTAACTTTCTTGTAAAGTAGGTTGGGCTGAGTGTCTGACTGGCCCACAGTCACCCAGTGAGTTTCATGGTAATAACCCAGATCCCTCAAGTCCATTGAAAATGCTTCCTTGAAAGAAAAAAAAATCTTCTGAGACCCTCCAGGATCTTGTATTTCCATGTATCAGCTTTTGAAAACCCATCTACTATCAGAATTCTAATGCACATGAAAATGTACTAAAATCCAATGGAAAGTCAATGAAAGCAATGATGCTTTGGCTTCCTATGCCAAAAGTGCCAATAGTCATTCATACAACTAACATATCACTTCATCTTAAGTATATTAATCTACTGCACAATGAACAAAGGGACATTTGATTATATCTGGCAGAACACAGCACTGCTCTCTATGTAAGAGAAAAAGGAAAAAAATCCCATTGCACATAATGGGAAGTCAAGAAATTAGGTCTCTTACAAATGCAGCAATTTGCAATGATTTAAAGGGAGACAAAGCCATGGTAGATCGATTTCTGACCATGGAGGTTTACAATATCTTTCACAACCAAGAGGAAAATGTAAGAGACTCAGCTTCTGTCATAATCAGGAAATGAAAACTGCTCATCTAGGGTGCATTAGAAGTAATACTGTTCACTCCAAAGAATGGCAATGCAGGCAGCAGGCAGTTGAGATAAGAATCACACGGGCAAACAGGCAGGCTGTTGGGAAGGAAACTTTCAGTACAATCCTGTCCTCAACTTGCACCAGCTTGGTGTGACAGGATTGGTTGGAAACCCCCTTGTGCTGGTAGAGCACAAAGCCATGCTGACCCAAAAATTCATTCCAACACTGAGGTACTATTAAATTATATTTGGCAAAGTAAAACACTCCTCTTGCTCCTTGTCATCCTGTGCCTACAAAGGATGTGCTAATGCAAGAGCAGAAAGAGTTGGAGGACAGGTGAGAAGAAGCTGGAATACTATTTTATTAAGGACTGCAGTGACAAAGAGTCACACACAAATTGGCTTAACAGAGCAAGGAGACCATGCAGTCAGCTTTTCCTCGCCTTTTCCTAGTTACAAACTAACTATAAATATAAATAACTGTATTCTCCCAACTCTTTCCTAGTAAATAAATTACCTTTCTGGGTAAACAAACATAATGCTAACATAAATAATAATAAATTATGAAAATAAATATTAAAAACAGTTATGAAGGTAGAAAAGCCAGCAAGGATGTGAGAGCTATCCTGTGTACTGCAGTAAGTGCCATGTTTATGCCAATCTGCCAGCTCAGTGTAATGAGCTCCTGCCTCACAGGGAACAAATTAATTCTTTGAAGTCAAGTCTCCTGATCTGAAGAAGTTAAGAGAAACAGAGAGGTGGATGGACAGGACTTCAAGGACCCCAACAACTGGGTAACAGCTCCTCTGTTGTCATGCAGAATTGCACTGATTGCATTAATTACCACCCAAATAGCCAAAGCTCCCAAAGAATGGAACAAGAATCCCTTGAGGAAGGAGGGCAACTATTCCCGCCCATCCCACTGGTGCAGTCCCTGAGGGGTTGTCTGCAGGTACATCAGGGGCCCTAACTCAGCAGTGCAGCCCTCGTTTTGCATACAGAAGGTTCCAGGGTTCCCAGCCTACCTGAAATAATCCTGGACAAGTGCTGCCACCTGGGCTAGATGGACTAAAGCTCTGACTCGGCAGCTTCACGTGTTCCTAGAACACAAGAGAGCCAGATACCCTCCCAGAACATCAACTGTGCTGCTGCAACACAGATATGCTCACATGAATAAGCAAGAAATGGAGAACATACTTCAAAGGTAGATTCCTGAACATTTCCCCTCCATATCCTGCTAAGGTTCCCAAAGTCCGAGGGACTTTGAAATTCTGGTCTGCAGTGTTATTTCTGTGGAATTACAGGGAACTCAGCAGGGCTCGGACCTTTCTACCCAGAAACCTCTGAGTTCACATGCAAGTCACCTAACAGCAGGGTCACAGGAAGTAATGTTGCCCGTTCCCAGAAGCATGTATAGTTTTGCTTTCTATTTTGCTGCTCTCTGTTAAGGAAGAAAAGATGGGATGGCTGCACAATGCCTTCCGATGGGTAGCATTAGGAGCCCTCCATCTGGAAGCATCCTCGATTGTCAACACAGCATCACAGAGGTCTGCCTAATTGTCATAGTGATCCCTTCAATGTGTTGGATCTAGTCCTCTTAAGAGCATGTCCAGCCTTCTTAAGTGAGAACTTCAAGGTATTTCAGTTGGTCTTCTTTTGCAGCAGGCTCACAATGCTGCTGTCCTTGTGCTCCATTATACTCTAATTATGTCTTTCACCTTGCCAAACATTATTACCTACATACAAAAAGGAAAATGCATTTTACTCAGTTGTGGCATTCATTCCCTTTTCTCCACTTGCATGTCTTACCTTTGTTTTCATATTTTTCTGGGGGCAAATCGTAAGGCACAGGAAATGACAACATTGGCTCATCAGAAAAAATGTTTTCCTTCACTTGGAAATAGCCTGTATCTAAGCCCTGTGAAAAATGCAGACAGAGAAATGCATTATATTCAGTCAAAATGTTCATTACCTTTCATTAGAAAACCTATCAGAAAGATAGAAACAGACACTGTGTTACGCATGGTCATGTTTATATTTCTTTTGAGGACTCCCTAATTAATGGTAAAAAGTGTATCAATTTCCCAAAACTTAAAAAGGCAATCTTTCCATTAGCTTTTCAATTATTTGTCTTGCTGAAACTGACTAAGGCCTCAAAAAGCCAATTTAATAACTCTTTGGATTTGTAATGTAGATGTACATGCTTTGTGAATGTATGTTTCAGCAATCATGGCTATGATCACCCAGAAAACCAGGCAAGAACAGACAATTTTAAGATCATAAAGGCTTATTATAGCCTTGTGACTTACTCCCACAGCTGTTCCTGAAGATTAGGAGCTTCTGGGTGGAAATCAATATAGTGCCAAGAACTACAGCTGAAAGGAAACATCATCAGCCTCTCTAGACACCTGTTCAGGTGACTGCACATGCACCTAGTCCACTCTCGATCATGATCTTGTTAAAATATCCTGTTCAAGGATCCCTAGTCTTCAGTAGTAGATGCTGATCTGCTACTGTGTCACACATGCACCCAAGCTGGGTTCTATGAACCACCAACATGTTTCCCTTTGTCATAATTTTTGATGAATCTTAAGGGAAAGAGCAGTCAAAGCAAAAGGGAAAAGAAAAAAAAAATGAGTCCCATATGCAGGATGGAGCAAAAAGGTTGATCTCAAGTCTGAAAGGGTTGGGACTGAGTCAATAAGATAGTTAGCATCAGCTGATTTTCTTTTCTGCAGGTATTCTACTCCTGACTTCAGCCTGCTATAATGGACAAGTTCTTCCTATTAACATGCACTGAAAGAGGAAGTGGCTGGGAAGGAGCTGCCTTTTAACTAGTCATATAGGTTGTCCAGATTTTGCATCAGGAAAACTTCTAGAAAGATTCCAATGCACAAAATAAACTGGAAACTAATTTAGCATGCTTTATTTTGTTAAACTTTTAAAAGCCTCTCATGTTAGTATTATTTTTCTATATAAATCTCACTGGCTTTTCTAAAAGAAAAACATATATGTGAAAAACCAATCCAACTAATATTTTATTAATGCAGTTCAAAGTGTTATTATACTCAAACTCAAAGCTTTACTTGGGAAATGTTTTTATTGGAATGCTTGTAAATTTTTGAAGACCGGACAACTGAAAAGCATACATTTTGCTTACACTGTTTAAATGTTGAGGGGGAAAAAGGCAATGAAAAAGGCCAACCCATTCTTTTTAGCAGGTCCACATGGTATGCTATCCATTTTAAGAAACAATGCTTGCTTAGATATGAACAAAGATTTCATGGAAAAATTTAGCAGTGGAAAATTTTCTGAAATCACTGCTCTCAACAACTGCTGTTGCTTTGTTAGCAAGATTTAGCGAAGTCATTTGGTGTGGACAAACAAAAAGGCTAGCCTGGAGTTTCTGGATATTGGCCCAAGTCTGAAAGAGAACACAAGGGCAGCTTAACACATCATATCCTAAAGGTCAAATGAATTGAAAAGAGGAACCAAGAGCCAATGTGGCTGCCTTAGCTTGCCACTAAGGTACCTGGGGCAATTGCTTCTTGCCCCACATTCATTTACAAAGGTGTTTAACTGGAAAATACAAACATAGCTTTAAGGTATGATAAGGAAAATCACTTTTTCTAAATCAGATACAAGTTGTTTGTTGTACCAGGGACATCATCTTTTTCAGTTTCTTAGTGTGCTAAAAAGATAGACAAATAGACTGACAATGTATCACCCAATGCTAAAATTCTTATTGTTTCCTATCTCAGATTGGTAAAGACATCAGGTGTTTGAGGAGAAAAATCTCAGTGTAATGTGTCATCTATAAAAATAACTGTCCCAATAACCTACTTATAGTTCAGCAGCTGGTAGTCTGTCCAATTAAAAATCATTGCTATTACCCCCTGCCATCCAGAATCCATAACTGCATGAGTTAAAGACAATTCAAGGGAACATAGAAAAAAGAAAGAAATTTATTTAGGATTTCATGCTTATCTTTAATTTTAATTACTATTACTTTTTAATCTAAACTGTCCCTTTATGATGATGTCACAAAAACATGAAATGTATTTTTCAGATGAATTCACGGAAACGATGCATTCAAGCTTGTCTCTGCTAATCCAATATCACACTCTTTTAGCTGACTCATTCTAGACTATGTTACTTCTCCCTCCCATCCATTTTCTGCCTTTTTATTGTTCTTTCCCCAGAATAATAGTCTAGAAATGTAACTGAAGCTAGCAGTGTCGCTGTTTTCACTTAGAATATTTTAAACATCCTGATTTTTATTCCTGAAAGATATAGAAACCTATCTGATCCACATTTGGGTCAGTATCTGAAGTTTAACAGATTTTATGTTGTTTCAGGAACAAGCAACTTGTAAACAGTTGAAGAGATACCCTCTGTATTTGCTCTATGGACACATGCCTCCAAGAATCAGGCCTCTCATTTAATTTGCTCAAAATTATGGTATACCAAGGCAAAACAAGCCACCTTTTGGAAACATGTTATGATTCTATCACTGTCATAAAAGACTGATTCATTGGACTACAACTCCCATCATCCCCAGCCAGTACAGAAGTAGGTTGGGAAAGACTGTTTCTAAATTATTACACTTTGTATGACTACAATACTGAAATGAAATTCTTGCAGAATACTCAAGGGACGCCAAAACAAAAACAGAACCCACAGCTCAGTTCAACCACCATGCCTATACCTGATTCTGATCAGGAATGTGTGAGAGAAATAATCACTCTATGTGCTCACAGGTAGCAAAAATGTGGATAATGATGCCCTAGGCTCGTTTTTTTAGCAGTAGCCCATGGTTGAATATTACAAGTCAATGCAACCATTATTTGTACCTATGTGATGCCTGGTAACTAATTGTTTTCTTGGAAAGTAAGCAGTGCACAGAAAAGTGCTACTCATCTTACCTTCTTTGACAATATTCAATATTCTTAACATTTTCAATACTGAAAAAGAAGCTTCAATACTGAAGCTTATGTTCTTGACCAGTGGCTAAAAAGGGTTCTCCATTTGTACTCATTACAAGTAACACTGTTTAGTCGAACTCACAAATTCTGAAGGCAGAAAGAGAACTCCTAGCTCATATGATCGGATCATCAGCTGTGTACCATTTTTCTCAAAAGCTCCCCAAGCAGCCTTAGAAAGATTCGCACTAGAGAAAAACAGCAATTAAATTAGAATTGTGCTCAGGGGTACTCAAAGCAAAAGTTCTTATGTAGAGAATACAGAAAGTAGCATGTAAAAAATTTCAGTGTTTTGGTTTCCTTTACAAAATATTTCAAGTTTACTGGATATGAACTTTTACTACTGTAGTTGGAACACAATTCTGATTTTTCAGAAGAGAAGAAAGGACAATACTCACTGAATGGAATGAAAGGGGGTTAACCCATTTCTGTGACCCAAAATCAGCAATATGGTCTAGAACCTTTTCCAGTGTTTATTTTCCCACAGGAAAAATACATTCATAAGTTTAATTATCATCAATGGATGCCAAGTGCAGATACACTATTAGGCAAGCCAAGCATGTCAGTTTCAAAGTTGCAATTAATATTTTTCACGTGATTAACCCTAGTAAGGGAGTATTATATTTCACAGAAATACATGCATGCTTCATTGTGCAACAGAACTAATAAGCAGTAACAATGAACCTGAAGGTACTGCAACAACTCAGTAGAAGAGGGCTGACCTCTATTAAAGTATATGAATGGTTGTCAACATATCATGTACAGTTATTCGGGGGTGCTAAAATCTATTATTGTGTCAGTGGGTTGCAGTATCTTTCTTCTCATTTGAAGTTTAAGGATGCGATTCACTGGATTGCCCATACCCCTCCTAACCTGAAGACTTATGGGCATCCAAGGAAAGGTGGGGAGACTGCAGATGTCTAAATGTTTTCCCCCTCCTCATGAAGAGAGGGCAAGTTCCTGCCAGGATTCTTCAGGAGACAGCAGTGGCCTGCCTCTCCCCTGCCCACAGAACACCCTCAACCCCACCCCAGGTCCAAAGACAGTTTTCCTGACCGTTTTCAAAGAAAGCCCAACCAGAGTAGAAAGAATAGTGCCAATGGTGGGGGCAGAGAGAAGGCCCTCCAAGGGCGGGCTCCCAACTCCAACCTCACATTGTTCTTCCAAGGTTAGGGCTGCGACTCTGACCTATCCCGTGGCCCGTCCTGCAGCTTCCCAGACAATGAATGAGGGCCGTAAGTTGCAGTTAAGGGAAGTACATGTTATTCTCTTTAATTTTTATAAACATTCCAATAACTATCTGTACATAATATAACATTTAAATTTAAGAGTGCTCTAATTCTTCCCCACAAAATTTCACGTTTAAATACTTGTGGCATGTATTACACAAAAAGACAACATGGAGAACTTTTTTAAAATTTTCTTTGCTAAATACAAATGCAATAAGTAAAATAAACATGCTAAATTCAGTCATGCTCTAGGGCACCAGAAAATTTCTTTATGCAAACTGAAAAATTCCTGATCAAAATTACCTTAATTTTAGCTTAGGAAAATTTTCCAGAATGCACACAACACTGCTCAAAATAAAACTCTTCAGTCCACTGAAGTAGCCTTACAGAAGGCAAGAGAAGAAGTAAAAAAAAGACAACTTACCTTGTAACTAGAAACCATGCAATCTTCTGGAAATCGGGAGATACTCGCATGTAAGTCTTAATGTGTGGCATTGCATGGCTACGTCCTGAAGTTTCAGCTGACCATTTGCTCAAATGATTAAAGAAGGGACAGGGAATTTCAGGTTACACCATAAATAATGAGGTTTCATATTCACATTACCCTTCTTTGCATGGCACAACAACTCTCGTGGAAGTAGCTGTGATGGACTGTCATCCATACTAAGACTGCTTCCTGCAGGATGGCTTGCTTTTTGCCAACAGGCCACTCTGAGAATCCATGAGTTTTACCTGTGATGGCTGTTGTGTCATCTGAACCCAAGCCACTGATCCCACAATGAATAAAGAGAAGTGGCAAGCAGGATGGTTGGCAAGAGCAGCAAAAGACCTCTTGCTGATCTTGGGGGTCTCATGGGTGCCATGGCTAGTGACAGCTTCTCCAAAGTGCTGTAGAGGGACTATCACTGGTGTGACATTTTAAAAAATAAGTTGCACTTCAAACAAGCAAAACAAGTTTGGTATTTTAAAAATTTATTATTTTAGCTGGACTTGCAGATGTGTGCACATGTATAATGTCCTGCAGGAACCAGCCCTGGATGTTGACTTAGAGAGGATCCAAATAGGTTTATGCTTGACTATGATTTTCCCTGAAAGCTGTCAAGGGAAAGCAAAGGCAAGAATGATCTTTGCCCATCAAAGGTAGGCAGTTGCCTTTTTCCCCCCTTCAGAGCAACCCTCAGGATTTTGACTATCCTCCCTGACAACAGGTCTCACTACGCTCAACTTTCCCAGTTATTCTTGAAACTCCAGGTGCTCAGAAAGGAGGAAAAGTACGGCCTATCCTCTTTGCACTAAAAATTGCTTTCAACAGCTGTCAAAGGTAGGGGTTTAAGGCAGGAATTTAGACAAGGCAGTTTGGACATCTGTATACTTCCCTGTTGAAAGGGAAGAAAACCATAGTGAGCACAAACAGACTCATAATCACAGTGGAGAGAGGAGACAAGGCATTTCAGCTGCAAAGTCCTCTCGGATATGGCCTGGAGAATCAAGGGGGAATGAGATGGAGAAGAAGTCATAGTTAGCTTGATCATCTGTGGAGTGCACTGGAGGTTTATTTATTTATTTTGTATACTACAGGGGTGGCCAGACTTGCTCAACAGAAGAGCCACATATGGTAAATGTCAGATGTTTGAGTGCTGCAAGTGGGCGCCCACAGGCAGTGACTGTGGGTGGTGAGAGGCAAGTGAAGACAGCAAGCCATGAGCCACAAAATAAATTCAAAGAGCGGCAAGCAGCTCCTGAGCCTCAGTTTGGCCACCCCTGCTTCCACTGTTGAACTCAAACGGCTACACCTAGTTCTCAAGTGGTTCTCCTTCAAGTAATGGGCAGACGCAGACCAGCTTGGCTTTGGCAGGTGGTGGCTTCATGTGCCTCCAGACCGTTATTTGGGATTCTGTCTGTTCTGCATACAAACAAATATCTCACCATGACTTATTGTCAGGGTAGACTAGTTTGATGAAGTCTCTTTCAGCTTAGTTTAGGCCAGGGACAGACAGTCTGGTTCCTTTCAGATGTTTTGACTACAGCTCCTATAATCCATGAAAACTGGTCATGTTAGTTCAGGCTAATGAGAAATGTCGTACTAAACATCTGGTAGGAACCAGATTTCCTATACCTGGTTTAGCTTTTTGTTCTATACCATGAAAAGCAGCAATCTACACCAAATCCCAAGGAGTAGGACCTGACAATGGCCTGGGCAGAATGGTTACAGTTTCTTCCTAAAAATATATTTCCCCATCATTTTTTAAACAGAACACAAGACAGATTAGTATGCTGTAGTAAAACAACATGTGGAACTCTAAAAGCTAACATGTTTACATGTTTCCTCTTTTGTTAAGATGCATAAAATAGAGTTTCTTTTCTAATGAAACTGTAAAACTAACCTAAAATATTTTATGAATCTGCTATTTTCAGATAGTAGGCTGACTGGAGGTTGTTGGGAGTTATAGGAGTTTTGTTTGTTTAGGGTTATTCCCTATTTCAAGACATGTAGACCCTGACAATGACCAACTATGCATGTTTAAGAAGTGATCTGCACTGCACAGTACTGCTTCTGAACATAAGCAGACAAGAAAGGCCATGGTGGATCAAACCACATGTCCATCTAGTTCAGCACTCTGTGCACACAGTGGTGAACCAGTTGCCCACTGGATCCCTCAAGCAGGATGGGTGCAAGACCTCCTCCTGCACATAGCCTGCAAGGCTAATTGCCACCTCCCTCATAAATCTGTCCAATCCCTTTTAAAACTGCATTTGCCATTTTAATGCCCATTCTCCCAGCCTGCAGAAATCCCTTTGGAGCTTCTTAGTCCCTTTTGGTTTTAACTACCCTAAAAAGTTTAGTGTCATAAGTAAACAAGGCCACCTCACTACCTACTCCTAATTCCATATCATTCATGAACAGCATTTGGAAGCTTCAAATGACAACTTAAACACTGTTATTTGTCTGTTGACTAGTATGTGCAATCAAGGGCATATTCAGCCAATTCTGTGAATATGAGATTCGTTTTTTGTTGGCTTTCGGTGTCAATCTTGGCAATGCTGGATTGTAAGAGTGGCAACTGACTATACCAGATCAGCCAGAATCCAAAGAGGGTGGAAGGGTCACTTGGATCTCTCTCACACCCAAACACACACCCTAGAACTTTTCTAGCCCCTCCTTCCCAGTGCAATCTCTTATGCTATCTCCAATTACTCTCAGATGCTGGGATATGACACAGCATGACGGGATGCAGCTGGAAAAGTATGTTCCAGTGATAATGAAGAAATTCCCACATGGATACATGGTATTGTTTGAGTTCTAGCTGTAATTCAATGAATGTTGGTCCTTCCTGGGTTGAGCTCATTAGACTCAAGTTAGCTATATTCATGATTGTGAAAAGATTTGGAACATGAGAATTCCACTGAGTGTTAACTGCTAGAAAGCAGTCAAGTAAAAAGAAAAAGAATTCTCTGTGTGGTGGATAGGGACTGAAAAATGATTATCTAGTGAATTTTTAAAATGGAAACTCCTACATTCACCTTACTTATATGTCAAAGTTTGCATAAATGCCATCTGCTACACATTTAATTGCTCTTCAAAACATCTTAAGAAGTTTATGTTATAGTACATTTGTTAGTCTTAAAAGTGCCAGTAGACTGTAGTTTCTTTTTTTAGAAAACAGAATGTCATTCATCATGAAGAGGTCATTTCACTTACTGAAAATAAGAATGCAGCCAAAGCTGTTTCTGTGCAGTTTGAATACTGTATGGAAGAGAGCCCCCAGCTTAAAGAGAAAGAAAAAAATAAATTATTTATACGTAAGTATGCCATTGGACAAGTATGTCACTGGCAGTATAATCTTTCAGAGTCTGAGCTCCAATCTTGGAAACATGCTCTAAGGTGGGAGCTGGGACTCTGAACTCAGAACACCTTCATAGCCAGCATGGAAAGAACCATGTTGACTGCAGCTCAGAGGTCACAAGAGCAACCTCACATATGGGCTTTTAGGTATGGGCAGGTATGACAGCATCCTGGTGCCCTGATGATGCCTTGTGCTCCTATCCACCCACTTTGCAGCCAAAAACTTGGGTGAAATGCCCCATCTAAATGTTTGGCATGGAGGAGCCTGAAGGACCTGTGCAGTTCTGCTAAGCATAGGATGCCCATATCCTCCAAGTTCAGAAGGTTCAGCACAGCCTTATTGGACTGTGTCCAACATGGAAAGGCGAGTGATTATATCTGACCACAGCATTCCTGCTGCAAGAAAAACAACAACATGCTTCTGACTACAAACAGAATTGTAGACTAGTAGAGTTGGAAGGGGCCTAGAGGACCATTGAGTCCAACCCTCTGCCCAAAGCTGGACTTTGAAGTTAAAGTATCTCTGACAGATGACTGCCCAACTGCCTCTTGAATACCTCCAATGTAAGAGAACCCATGACCCCCCTAGGTAATTGCAAACAGATTTGGTAGAATTTTGCAAAGGATTTCTATTTCAGACTTCTATGTTTCCAATATATGCAGATATTATTGTATAATGCTTTTGAGCTGCATGTCCAGTCTGAGTTTAAGGGGACTTTAGCAGGGTCAAAAGGAGGAATAAAGATTTTTAAAATACTGAACAACATTTAGAAACTATTTCCAAGAAACACCTTGTTGAGTCTAACATCTATTATTCACTTTCAATATTCTACCTGAAGGATATATACACACACACATATATATATATATTTACCTGGATATCCTTCTAAACTTTGTCTCACATTGTCCACAGTTGGGTAAACCTAAACAAAAGATATGTAGCACCAAAGTTAGCTATAATAAATGTAATTAATTGAGGTTATATAAAGTTGGAAACGTTATATGATTTATTCATTTCAAAAATTGTCTTCAAATAACATGGTATACACAAACATTTTGGGTTTGATTTATATGCAGTCAGGAGTTATTTGTCCCATTGATTTAAATAGATCTACTCTAAGAATGACTAAGGATAAAATTCTATGAATGGTTAAAGCCTACAATTCCCAACTTCCAGCATGCCCTTAAGGATCACACCTTAAGTCTATACCCTACCCTCAAATTACAGCACTAATTTTGGAAAAGTTTAGCAGAACTAAGTAAGCTTTTCAGATTCCACTTTCTAAAAAGAGTGAAGTAAAAGTGACCTAGGAGCCTCCCTGAAATATCAGCAAGGTTCAACACTATGACTTCAAGAAATATTTATCTTTTTGAAAAGAAAAATAAGCAACCAATACCAGATGAATGGGAACATCATGATTTGTTAGAGTCTTGACACTGTTTCCTAGACAGGCCAAACTGTCTCTAAATTCTGAGCACAGCCATTTGGATTGATCAGCTCCCATTGATCCAATACTTGAGAACTGTCCTATTATAGGCCAAGAATCCTGAGTAGGTAACTGCTCTGTGTGCTCTTTCAAAAGCTGTGGAGAGAGACACGAAATAGAAAAGCATTAGACATTACTACCTTTGGCATGTCAAACTAAATTAAACAAAGTGATTTGATTACGCAACATATGACAAAAGGTTTGCCATTTATGAAGACATTGCTCTTTGATTAGCTATTTATGCAGCATATCACATATAAACATTTTTATCCCACCTTTTCCCTGCTTACAAGGAACCCAAGGGGATTTACATAGTCTTCATTTTACCCTCATAATCACATTGTGAGGTTGGTTAGGCTAATCGTTCCAGTCCAACACTCTAACTACTATACCACCCTGGTTCTGTAATAGAATCATTGCATATATTTGTGCTGAATGTGTATAGTGTCTCCCTAAATACCTATTTCCATATTTATTTAAAAAAGGGAAGTCATATTAATTTTTTTAAAAAAGGTAAAGTGTTCCCCATGATATTAAAGTCCAGTCATGTCTGAATCTAGGGGACGGTGCTCATCTCCGGTGCTGAAGACATATAGCTTTACCTCTCTGGGACAACTGAATCAAGAGAGACTGTGCATGTCCTAGATCAGTGTCTGGACTCAGTGATGGGCTGGATGAGGGCCAATGAACTAATGATCAGTGATGAGTGGCTCTTGGGCCAGGAAGATAGAATTATCACCTGTTCTGCATGAGGATGCACTCTCTGGGAAAGATGAGCTTCACAGTCTGGGGATATACCTAGAGTCACTGCTGTGACTGGAGACCCAGTTGATTGCGATGCCTTGAAGTACCTTTTACCACCTCTAATTGGTTTGCTAGCTGGGGCTCTCCTGGACAGGAATAGCTTGACCACAGTGAAACAAGCACTGGTAACTTCAAAAGTAGGTTACTGCAACATATTCTATATGGGGCTGCCCCCTTTGGGTCACTGCAGAAGCTAGAGCTAGTGCAGAATGCAGAGAAAGAACTGCATTGGCTACAGATTCACAACTGGGCAAACTTTAAGGCTTTTGTACTAGCATACAAAGCCCTGAATCACTTGAGAACAGGATAACTGAGAAAGCGCCTTCTTCCTTATCAACTTGCCGGATCATGGAGATCATTGGAGGTCATTCTCCCAGTGGTTCCACCCAGACCCACAGCAAACAGCCTTCAGTGTAGCAGCCCCATTTCTATGGACTTCCCTGCCTAGGGAGGTCAGGCAGGCATCAAGACTGTGCTGGTTTTGGCACCTGCTAAAGACAATATTATGCCTGGAAGTTTTTTTTCTTGCTTGACAGTCATGGTCTTGGTGTTATTTTGTTTTTAAACATTTTAATGTATTGTTTTTACTGTTTTATTTTTATTAACCTCATACCATTTGCCACTTCACAATCTGTGTGGATGTGAAGCCACTCTGAAAAACTGTAAAGAAATAATTTAAGGTATATTTTTATTTCCATGTCAGTTCCCAGTGCCACCAGGAAATGCAGGAGGGAATACGAACAACATGGAGAACAGGTCCAATGAGGAAAGGCTGAAGGAGGCTGGCACATTAAGCCTAGAAGAAAGACAGTGAAAATGGGATGTGCTTATTCACTGTTACATAAGATAGACGATTTCTACTAAATATTAGGACCAAATCCCTTGTGCTTCAAGCTGTCTGTAAGTGAGAAAGAGTGCCTTGAAAAGTGGCAGATGTTAGAGATTTCCAAGCAGAAGTTTAATGACTACCTACAAAAGAGACTGTTAACAAACAGTCCTGCAATGGCAGAGGGTTGGACTAGATAACCTTTTAGATATCTTCCAATTCCATGATTCTTTGAATTTATAGTAAGACAGTATATGCTTAGACTGAAAGAAATGATGAAAGGCATAAAAATCCAGTACCTTTCTAAGTCTAAGATGACCCCATTTCTCTTTTTCATTGTTCTGGTATCGACCTGGAGTTGACCCAAGAAGATATACTCTACATAAAAATATACATAAAATGTATATACAATGTTAAATGAGGGTGCCTTACAACATTGCATTATTATTGTGCTTTAGAATGCAAAGATACTACTGACTACATTCCAAATTAAATTGCTCAAATATGAACAGAAAGAACTTTTTAGAAGTAATTGCCTTTTATTTGTCTCAGTCTATCTCTCTTGAACATCCTGAAAGCATTAATAAAAGCAAGGTTTAGCAATTATTAAGCAACACTGCATCTCCAGCACTATGTAGCAAATTCAATATAACAGAAGCACCTGCTTCTACTGGTGAGAGAGAGAGACAGACAGACAGACAGACAGACAGACAGAGTTTACAAAATGAAGTTAGAAGCAATTTATCAAAAGTCTTTAGGAAGATAACATAACTCAAATTATATACCTGGTTTCTGAAAAATCATGTTGCTTGATTACTTCAACCCATTCACTGAGTGTAGGAGAATTGTAAGACATCAAATAGCTTATTAGGTCAGACTTAAAATTGGTATGAGATTCTCCATCAGTTTCAGCAGATCCAGGTGGTAGCCTTGGATACAGAGGACTCAGCCATATTCTAAAAGATAAAAGTGAAAAGATCACTGAAGCACTACCAAATGACTGTGTGGAGACTAGAGAATTCTTTTTTTAAATAAAACTCTGGCACTTCCATTTTTCAAAGAAGAAGTAAAGCTGTATGCTCAAACATGTTTGTATCACCATTAAATAGCATTATCTCTACACAAACATAAACCATGAAAGCCTATTGTGCGCTGTACAACTGTTGTAAAAAGCACAATATAAATTTGAAAGTTCTTGAACAAGTAAGTATGACCAGTATTTTCCTCAATATTTCCCTAAACTCAATGCAGCAAAAGTCATGGCATATTCCATTACCAGTAATGATTACCAAATCTACTTTTGAAACTCTGGTTTCTGTCCAGCCACATACATCTGTTAAGGCAACAGCCACTCTCCCTATTACTCTGGAAGCAAGAACACTTCCTGTGCTCCAGATATAAACTAAGCACTCTTCAGATGAGTGCTTTCCAACCAGTCTTTAGACCTTCATACAGAAAGTATCTCTGTCAGAATGATCTCCTATTCAAGGGAATGTGACCTGTCCTGGTTCAGATGTTCCATTCTACACAGAGTGAGGGAGTGGCAGTTCACACAAGTCTGAGGTTTGCTCCCAACATCACAACACAAAGAAGTTGTTGGATGGAGAGTATAATGTTTTTCCCACATTTTCCCTATTGTGCCAATTTAAAGTAGTTTTCACTTAGACAGAAATTCAACCCAATTCTGTCTTTCCCCTTCTAACCCCCAAGCAAGCTCTCTTGCATCTGCATCTATTCCGTCTTCCTCTCCAGGGCTCCACTATTTTTCCTCTTCCTTTAAACAGTTACAGTGGAGACCTACACCAGCACAGGAAATGCAATTAATTCTGTGAATGCCAAAGGGAGTTATATGCATAGTCAAAACATGATTAATTAGATCAGGCAACATTTATATAATTTATGCTGTTAGTTCAGATTATAGAAAATTGGCATAATTTTGTTCTTATTAGAAGGACACTTATCCAAAATACTTATTTGGAAAATGTTTGTGATCTGTGGTAATTATACACACTTTAAGTACTAGCTAAGTAGTTCCTTTGCTCAGATTTTTCTAAAGACAGATACAAGAAGGCAACTAGAAATAAGTGATACGTTATATAGATAGCATAGTAAAATGCCACTTTTACCTTCATGTACAATATAAGCATTATGCAATAAAGTAAATGGACAAAAATAAACTTTGCTTGCTATATAGACACATTTTCAGTACAAACTATATTGTGGTTGGTTGTGAAAGACCACTTCTATTGTTTAAAAGCCTTCTAGCTAAGTATGTGATACATTTTCTTTGTTCTTAACATAACTTTACTATAATTTTCCTTTAGGGAAAGGTATTTGAAAGGCTTAGAGCAGACTTTAACTCCTACTTTCTACGCATCAAATTAACAAAAGAGCAACGTTTAATAAAGAATGACATTTATCAGGAATCTATTCTCTGTAGCAAGTGAAGATTTAATGATGCGTATGCACTCTGGGCAGCCTGACCCAAGTATCCATCACCTAGGTGACTCTGAGATACTGAAGTAAATAAAGTAGGTTCCCAATGGTTATATCCATAAATATGATACAGCAGAACTGACCATTTTCTATAATTGTTGAAATCTTAATCACATATGGTATTATTCAAATATATTTATGAACCTAGATGGTGTCTACCAATTTAAGAACTTCACTTGTACAAGATGCACCTCAACATCTTCTTTCTTCCCTTTTAAAAAGAGAAAAAAATGTGTTTCGGAATGGCAAATAAGGTGTCCCATAAGCCATTAAAGAGGAAATTACCAATGACATGTAGCCACAAGTCACAATATTAAATGCCTTTGGAAGGATGAGAGGTTGCACACAACCTTTAGAAATTTTACATGTACATCCATGTCAAAGATTTTTTAAAACAAGTGGTAGTCAGGCAAGATTTAGCTCATTGACTATATTCTTCCTTTTTCTAACATTTGCTATTCAAGTTAACTTTTAATGTTGTAAAAGTCTCAGAGAGTGTCAGCTATTTGGCAATACAGAAATAAAAATTATGCAGACTTTATTCTTACCCTTGTGTTTTCTGGTACCAGTCATCTTCAATAAGATTGGATGTATGTATTACTACTCGAAAGCCTTCCTCATATTGCAACAACATCATTTTCCTACACAAAACAGAACTGCTGTTAAGTATTACAGGAAGGGAATGCAAGGTACCTTAAAAATTAGACAAAACTCAAAGCTCAAAAGATATCATTAGCATCATTAGGATATTTTTGTACATAAAACTGTATATACTAGGTAGGAGAAAGCATTTTGTGAGAACTCAGGAAATGTCTGGATCTGATACTTATACACATGTACGCAAACATGTCTTACACAGATCAGTGCATTCACCATACAGGAGTAGCATAAGGATAACCCAGAATATGGCACTGGATATGAAGGCCTACTAATCAAGGCTTTTTACAACTCAGCTATATTAGGGTCTAATTTAACAAAAGTGCTGCCAAGCTTGTAATCCTGCTTGAAAAGAGCAAGAGCGGGGAAGTGTCTGTCTTGTAGTGAGCAACCACCTACCAAAAAAGGTGGTAGTCTTCAGTTTCTGTGGAAACCAACATTAAGTGAGACATGCAGGGTACGGTATAGATAGATGGCAGAAACAAAACAGGTAAATGACTAATCAATGCTCACACTAGACATGACTAAGTTTTGCATTCTGAGACACTGGGGAAAGTATATTATAGGATGGAAAGAAAAGGACAGAGTCACTGCTGCTAGTGTGCTGTGATACTGGGTAATCAGTTATGTCAAACTTCTATGTCTTGCTCTCATTTCAGGCTCTAGACTTCGTTAGTGCCATGGCACCTTTCCTTAAGACTTATCTAATATTAACTTATTGCAGTGTTTTCTGTCAGTAAAACTGGTAACACACAACCTTTGATGTATAATTGTTCTTGAAAATTAAGGTGGCACATCAGGGACCAAGTATTTCTACTATGGGGTGAGATTTCTAGGCCTCATCTGCTGGAGAGTCTATGTTTGAAAATATCTAATTACATCTTGTTCATACAATGGTACATTTAAAAACTTATAGGACATCCACTGATATATTATGGTGAAGATTTTTCTTTTAACACTCAACTATTATGCACCTAGATCCATTTCAGTCAAGGTTCTGGCTTATGTTTCTAACTCAGACAATCAATCACTCATTCACATATGACCATAAAACTGTCGCAGGAAAACAGGGGAAATAAGGTATTTTATGCATTTTTCAACTCTATTGTTAGCCACTGCTAAGATTTTTGAATAATTCATCCTGCAGTAACAAAAACTAGCAATAGTTGCATTTGGAGTCATGCAGGCATGCCAACATTGATGTCTGTCTGAATGTGTTACTTGCTTAGCTGTCTCTGAACAGCTAATAATTTGAAAAGTGGTTTATATAGATTTTAGATAAAATGGCCATCTACACATATACATGCATGCACATGTGTGTAAATGTCCATGTTAGGTCTAACAGTGTCATTTCCTCTTTGTGCCCATTTCATATATTCTGTGTCATTTATTTTTAAATTTTCATTAAGTAAATTACAGCAGAACACTAAACAGAAAACGTGTGCTGTTACGGTGGGTAACTTCCCCTGAAGAGCTAGGTTGCCTTAGAAACTGGTACTTAGGAATGAACATGTACCATGAAAATAATATGCCTGGCTCACATTGCTGACTCATTCACAGACACATAATATTGTTAATACTCTTAAGTGCATGAAATTAAAAAATAAAGCAATTAACCAAGTGTTCCTCATAGCACACAGCAAAAAAATGAAGACTTATAATATGATTTTTGAGCCAAAGTTGATTTTTTTTGCAAGTATACCTTGTTTAAAGAATGGTAAGGAAATGAATAATGATAAGTGCCAAAGATTTGCATGTCCCTTACTGTATTAAAACTACCTACACAGAATTTATCCTAACAAAGACAGGAATCAAAGAACAATGATTCTACCACCATGCACCCAAGGGCACTTTGGATCAAAGTTGCTCAGACAGGAATTCCAAATGTGGCTTAGAAAACAACTCTTTAAACAGAGAGAAAATTTCAAAAATAATTTAGAATATTTATTTATTTTTAGACTTATTTTCCACTAACTGGCCTGAGGGCCCTCAAAGTGGATATGAAATGCTTACCATCAGGAGTTAATTTATGAAAAGCCATCTGTCAAGTAGCTTTCAGCAAATATTTATCATTTTCTATCAACTAAACATATGACAATACTTAAACTTTATTCCAATAAAGAGGCGTGTTTGCAATATTCAATTACACCAACTGTTATACTAATCAAAATTCCCCTTTCTATAATTCATTTATTGCTTTTATATACATGGCTCCCAAAACAGTACAAAAAAGGGCCAACTGGATAGCTACCCCATTCATTGGCTTTGGGTAGGGGAAAAAGATATGTACTAGTTCTAGTACTCTTTTCATGAGTATTTCCTGGTTGCAATATGTAATGTTTTCTAGATTTAAATGATTTGTATTTTTTTCTTGGATTGAATGAAACTGACAAGAAGTCCAATGAGATTTGCAGCACATTCTCATGTTCCACTGAGATACAGGACCACTCTTTGTTCAATGCTGTGTACAGAAAATATGAGCTGACTCAGAAGTCTAAAGCTAATGCACAGCACAACAGGAATCCTACCCAACATGCAACTTAAAGTAGATATTTAAAAGACCAATTAATTCTAACAAGCAGCTAGCTACAGGGCAACCATGTGTCCATCTAAGGAAGCTATTGTATTCCAGCTGATGAAGGCTTCCTTGCCTAGGTCATTCCTGTGATTGGATTTTCTGAATTGTGCCCCTCAACATGCCATAAATTATCAAATGTAGATAAGAATAGTTAGGCAGATTAGTAAGCATGACAGGCTGTAAAAGAGTTGAAAGTCAATTTCCTTTGCCTCATTCCTTATTGAACAAGTGAACACACCCCACCCACAGCTTTTGCTCATCAAGGAAATAGATTTACCTAAATTTCTGAGCCTGCTGTTAAAGGATCAGAACATGAAGACAGAGTCCTAGATAGGTATCTTCCATAGATTGATTGGCAAGCTTTATATACAGTCATACATCTGTTTTATTATTGCATCTGATACAACATTTTCAAGCCATTCATACTTAAAAACATTTTCTCTCTTTTACAGACTGTTTGTGTACGTTTCGTCACAGATGACAAAGCTACTTTAAGCAAACTACAAGCTACTGCTGGTATCTGTGGTTTTCAAAATACTAATGCCAAGGTCTAAAGGACTACATACCATATCATATGAGGTCTTTTCAGCTCCTCTGTTCCAAAAGAAGCTCTCCCCAAAGGTTTGCAGGGATAGAGCCTCATGAAGCATGATGAGTTGTCACCAGAATAAGGAAAGGGATGTCAACTTCTATGTGTGTGCATGGAACTATTTTTGCATACATATATGGGCTTTTCTGGATTCTAGTTAAAGCCAGCATCTAGCCATGAAAGAATGAGCTTTTAATTACTTTGTTATATATAAATAGCACTTATGATGATAACTGAGAAGGTATTTCCATGATTGGCTTTCCCCCAGATATTATAAATTACTTACGTGTGGTGGGTGCCAAATGCAATATCCAACTTCGCCTACAACAAGAATGGCATTTTTAACAAATATCCAGTACAGGAACTTTACCATGATAGGGTAAATAGCTCAAGAATTTCTATTTTGCTTTATTTTACTGCTCCCTGGTGGCCTTCACACAAATTGCACAATAGCTTCCTTACCAAATGCAGGTCACTATGAAATTCTATAATTTTTGCATTTCTATAGTTCTACATAATTGTACATAAAATTTCTACAGTTTTTTCATTCACTTCAGTACTACCAATTATTACATGTCAGCTTTGTCTCTTAGGCTGTATCTAGGAGGTGCTATAGTGTTGCACAGCCTATTACAAAGCAGTGCGAGAGGAAGGATGCTCACACAACCAAGCAGAGCAGGAAAAAGTAGGAGAAAATAGTGAGTTCTTTCACTTCATCAATGCCTACTAAAAGGGAAAGTTAATTCAGGTACATTATTCCACTTATACAAACTCATGTAAGCAGAATCATGCAAATATTCATGCCAATTAGTACATGACACATAAACCTGTGTGCAAGGACATTAAAGGAGTATTTGCAGATCACCAGCTAATTAAGTATTTGCAGTGAGACTAAAGGGTTCCAAATACTTGCTTTAAATTCTGTACTGTTCAGCCACAAAGTCATACCCAACTCTTTGTGACTCCATGGACAACGTTTCTCCAGGTCTTCCATCATCCCCAAGAGTATACCCAAGCCCACACCCACCTCTCCGGTGACCTCATCCAGCCACCTCAACCTTGCTTTAAATACATAAGACCAAATAAAAATACCTGATTAAAGGAAATTGTATCATAAATATGTTTTCTAGAAAACACTATTGGTGTATTACAGTACAGAATTATTTTTTGTCATAGAAAGAAGAGAGGAACAATTACCTGGCACAAGCGGACATTTTTATATGGACATGCTTGCTCATGTAACTCAGCCTTGGATTCCCGTTTCTCACCATGGACTATTAATAAAGGTTTGTCCCTTAGAATGAAGCAAACTTTATTAGACAATTCACTGGAAACGAGATCAGTACAAATTTCTAGTTGAACTATCCATATTTTATTGAAAAGAAATATCCTGAAAGCGTGTTCCCCTTATGTACCAATCCCTTATTATACACATTTCAAGGATAACTGTTAAAAACCTGTTATAAACCAGAGTTGCACAACTTTGTAAAGCCAATATATGCACTGGTGCAAGGGTGTTCCAAGAAATTAACTTCCCTGCCCTCTGCTCATCATGGCTGCCTCTAGAGTCCCCTACCAATTGCTGGATAGTCAGGGGACCTGCTTACAGAAGGCACTTATCCGGGGAAGAGGAGAGGAAAAGGAGAGTGCAGGAAAGTTAGCTTCCTGGAGCTCTGCCAGCATGATATTGCCTAAAGCATTTCCATGAAAAGGCTTACATTGTTACATTTTTGTAACAATGAAAATAACCATGTTTATGGAAAAAAGACTGAACTTTCTTTTAGGAGATCAAGAACATTAAATCTATACTACACTTCAGAAATAAAAAGTTATTCTAGTTAAGCACATGAGAACCCTGAACATACAATTACACATTTAAGACCATTCATGAAATTCGGTGAAAAGGTGCCATGTTGGTTTTAAGAGATAGGAAACATGACTCTGACCTCTAGTTTTAATAAAAAAAATTAAGCTGGCCAAGTCAGCTTTCCTTAGTTTGTTTCTCAAACACTTAAATATGTCTTGAGAACTCAGCACTTTGATATAATTGGGATTTGTCCAGTTATTTAAGAGATCATACATTTCCATTTCATTTTGCTGTCAAATAGCTCACAAATGTTTGAAGTTTGAAAAATATGTTCAGACCTATTATACGAACAAACCTCAGCCTAACAACAAATACATCATATACCTGAGCTTAAATCCAGTATTTAGGCAAAAACTTAATAATATCAACCATATTGTTATAAGAAACGGTACATATAACAAAGTAAAATGAATGTGAGTGGGGGGGAACTGGCCTTTGAAAGCAAAAATGTGTGCACCATTCTTCAAAGATGATAGATTCTTATGTCACCTTTTCTTACCCCAAAAGCAGTAACAATTGTTTAAAATAAGAAATTTCAGTAAGATAATAATTAAAACGAGAAATTCAGGGAGCAATCCTATGCCTGGAAGAGTCCCCAGCTGCAACCCTGAAAGCTTACTCCAAGGATGGAGCTGGGACTCTCGGCCAACTTTGAAAGAAATGGACCAGCTGCAAGATTGGCTTTTGTAGGTGTTCTGGAAGACAGGGAGAAGACAGACTCCACCAGCACACAACACTGTCCAGGCAACACCACAATCTCATCTCCTCACACATGGTGGGAAGAGCACGGGGGAAACCCTCACCACCTTGCTCATACCACAATACACAGGATGCTCCACATTCTCTAAGTTCAGAGGGTTCTGTGCAGTCTCATTGGACTGTGCTGCCCATTACACAAAACACTAGACAGTGTAAGTCAGACATATGAAGTAGGTCTAGATCATTTTTATGCTGTTAAAATGTTTATTAAGAACAATGATGTTCTGTGAGATTGAATTCATAAGCACATGTACCTGAATTCTTTTGGATATTGATTCACAAGCCACTCCACATCTATACAATAGTTAAACTTGGCCATGAAAAGAAAAAGAAATAATCATTAGAAATGGAGGGAGAAATACCTTTTCACTACAGCATTAAGTACTGAGCAATGTTTCCTGACTGATAGCATTCTATGAGATACCTCCACCAAAGTCTGAATTCTATTTTGCAACAGTTTAGATATCTTTATTTCCTAATCATGGCATCTATGAACATATAAATACATATTAAGCAAAAATGCTCTCCCATATAAAGGCAATGTGAAAAATACAAGTTGTACTTAAGATTTTATTTCTATATGTTCATTCAGCTGTGTGAATAAGCTCACAACTATTACTAGTCTGTGATTTTTTTAATTTTAAGTAATTTAAAAATATAATGTTAATGTCCTGCATTTCCATGCTGACTGCAGAAGTGGGGAAGCTGACTTCCCCACTCCTCCAGCCACCAAAGGATACTAGTCTCTTAAATTCCAACAAGCTAGTCTCTTCCAAATGACCTAGTAGAAGAGGGACAGGCATCAATGCTTCCAAAGACAATGGAGAAATGAAGCAAACTGGAGAACAAGGGAGGAGAAAGATTCTTCCTTTGCTTACAGGAACACTTGTTGCATGAGCAAAAAAATTAATGCAGAAAAGCAAACTGTGACTATGTTCATACAGTGTGATATGCCAAGATTCTGGGAAACCTCCGCTAGTGTAAGCACCTAAGCAACCCAAGGCTTAACTTATTGTCCAAACTGAGGATTCTGGCTTGTTGTGCTCCTTAAAAGCCAGGATTGTAAACAAAAGTTTGTTCTTCATTTATAAATCCCAGATGATCTGGATACAAGAAAGCCAGGATCTCCAACCTGGATTACAAGCGAAATAAACAATTTCTGCAACCATGATGAAGGTCAACATTCTACCACAGGTTTTGGAGTTTTTCTAATGTACCAGTAAGACCAGCTACCATTTTTATGCATTTCCAGCTACATTTCTTATACATCCCCAGAAGACTGTTTCAAACAGTCTCAGTTTCAGTGGGTAGATGAACAACTGATGCATCTGTGTATTTAAAAAGAGAAACATAAATATACAAAACTTACCTGAACAGAAGATACAAGGGATCCAAACAGGGGAGACAAAATATCTGTTATAAAAATTAGGAACATTTAAGTATGCATTTTTATTCAAACTGGTATCAGCCAATTTATTTTACAAATATTATTCATAAGTCAAAGTCAAGACTTTCATGTAAGTCTAGTCAGAGAAACAGAAAACAAAGCTGAGAACATTCAAAAACAGAGCCAATAATTATTTTCCATAGAACTGCTTTCATGAGATGAAAAGGTTAAACGAATACCCATATCTGATTGAATTTCTACCCATGCGCACAAGTATGAGATGGCCATTAAGGGCATATTTCTATCCATGTTTAGTCAAAGAAAATTCTTACAGCTTTCAGCCAGCACTCCAATTCCCTGGATTCCTCCACCAGCCATGCATTTGCAGCTTAATTCATTTATATTTAACTAAGTCTAGAATTGGCATGTTTGGTGAGACTTAATTATAACTGTGATATTTTAATGAGATAAACTTAATTGCTCATTCAGTGTTTTAAAAATAAAATCTAAATGTTAAAGCTCAGATTTTTTAAAAATCATTTTTATCCATCCTATAAAAAACAAGCTTTAAAAATAACATGCTTGGTGGGGAATTCTGGGAATTGTAGAATTTTTCTGTCTGAGCATGCACTGCATTGCACACTCCGAGATAGTTCTACTGAAGGGCCACTATAAAGAAAGCCCTGCACGCGTTCCCTTCAACCAAGCATCTCTTGGAATTATAGAACAGCAAATGCTATTTTGGGATGTATTAACAGAAGTACCAAATCGAGAGATGTAGTAGTTCCCCTTTACTCCTCACTAGTCAGACTTCATCTGGAATACTGTGTCTAGTTCTAGTCACCAAGATTTAAGAAAGATGCAGAAAAAGGATCCAGAGGAGGGCAACAAAAAGGATCCAAGATTTGGAAACCCACCCTGTGAGAAGAGACTGAGAGAACTGGACATGTTCAGCCTTGAGAAGAGAAGACTGAGCGGGGACATATCCCTCTATAAGTACCTGAAAGGCTGTCACAAAGAAAGTCATGATCTCTTCTTGCTCATACCAAAGTGGTAGGACACAGAATAATCAACTCATGTTGCGACAAGCCAGAGTCAGGCTAGGTAAGAGGAAAGGTTTGTGCACTGTCAGAACAATACAACAGTGGAACCAGTTGCCTAGAGAGATCATAGGCTCTCCCACACTAGAGAAATTCAAGGTGAAACCGGACAGTCATCTGAGTGGGATGGTGTAAATTGGTGTCCTGCAATGGCAGGAGGCTGGACCTGATGGCATTCTTGGTCCCTTCCTTCTCTTCTGTGACTGGTTAGTTGCACTCAGTATTTTGATGGTTTCAACTTTATGTGTGGATGATCCACCACAGATACAATACCAGATATGACAGTACATTTATATCATTTCACCTGCCATGCTATTCAATGGAGTCCATTTACACATTCACATGCCAGTCATCACACACAGAAATATCAAATGACATACATGCATGACTCATGAATTTTCTAATCATGAAGTAGCCTCAGCAAATGCACGTCTTTTTCCTTTATCACATTGTACCAACTCTTACGTAGCACCCAAAATATTCATTTTTGCCTCAATATTACTCACCTTTTATGTGGAGAGCTCCAGTATTGTACTTTGACTTAATTCCTTTGACTTTAGTGAGGAAGAATCTGAAAGGGTTCCCTCCATTCAACAGATCCCAAGTGTCCTGTACTTTGTCAGATGGTGCTGCAGATTTGTGACTCTGTAGAAGCTTATGAGTTGTGACTGGTTCTTTAGGCACCCAGCATTCTTCCTGGGTGACTTTGGCTGTTGCCTCTCCTTTCCCTTGTTGCTCTTTGAAATCTTCCTCTTCATCACTACTTGAAAGGCACCAACCTAAGCCTTCTTGAGAAGGCTTCTGTTTGAGGGCTGGAGACACTTTTGGACAGCTTTCATTGTTATATTTCAGAGGGGAAGATTTTCTCTTGACAGCAGCTTTTCTGGCCTCTGAACAAGGGTAATGGGGAACCCCACTTTCACTTCCCCCAGCAGGTAGCATTGAAGAGGTGGATGGCTTCTCAGAACCAGGTTGCTCATCTGCACTCTCATCACTACTTGACACTGTCCATTTCCCATGCTCACTTTCCTGAGTCATGATAGGTGATAGGTAAAAAATTAGGGAAGAGGTAGAATAATCTGGAGGGAGTAGGGTACCTACTTCTTCCACTTTCTCACGAATGTGTCGGACCTTCTATTTTTTATACATACTCCTACAGAGCCATCCAAAGAGCATCATATTATATTTGGAACTCGTGCACACGCGCCTTCCCCCTCCTCCTTCTCAAGGGGAAAATACTAGGAAAGAGTCCCTTAAGAGCCAGGAAATCTCACACCAGTTATCCTGAAGGTTTGCTGCAGGTAAACTAGTGCAATTACTGGACTAAAGCTTGAAAAGTCGTCTCAACTCGTTTCCTTTTTAAGCAAGATGGCAGGTGTCGTGCTGAACTCCTTCTCTAAACTTGAAATCCTCCCTTTCCTGTCCAGGACAACGGCTCTCTTAAAACGGAACAAAAGTGGCTGAGACGCTTTTTCCTGTAACAGAAATTCTGGTGCTCCTTTTGTCCTCAACACTTTGGCAGCCTCAGCTCTCCAAACAACTGAGGAGGCCGCAGTTCCTGAGAGAAGGGGGGAAAAAGACAATACGAAGTCAATCCTAAAAGAGCCTTAGCAGGAGGAGGAGGAGGAGGAAAACAATCTTCCTCGCTTAGCACTTCTCCTTTACGCCAGCCGCCTTCGGCCAAGGCAGCATGGAAGCACCGCCTGGGGAAAAAAAGCGCCTGAAGGGAACCTCCTCTTCCGGGGAACAAAAACTCTCCAATTGAAAGCCCGATTGATACTTCAGGGCGACCAATGATTCGCCGACTAAACCGAACGGTGGTGGGAGAGGCTAAGGCTTCTTTCCCGCCTATTTCTACCGTTGCGTCTTTCCTCGCCGTTCTAGCCAATAAGAGGGGCTGTTTTGGTTGTCAAGGGGAAGTTGCGTGGGCGTGGCTTGGTTGCTACGGGACAGTTCGGGCCGGTTGGAGGCGCTGCCGCTGTTCGCAATGTGCGCTGCTTCTGAAAAGACGGAGAAGAAAGGTGGGAGCCGCGATGGCAAAGAACATCTTAGGAAGCGATGGATTAAGGTACGAGGGTGAGTGGATGGCGAATATCGCAGCGTTCTTCCTAAGACCTTCAGGTCGAGGACACGGCTTTTTTTAATTTTCAAAGCATCCTTGTTCGGTCAGGCTGAGAGGGTCATCCAGGGGACTTCATATGTGCGCCCGTCCTGTGGTGTCCTCTTTCCAATGGGAAATAATTCCTTTTGAAAAATATGGTAAAAATGTACACTCATGCGGGTTTAATTATATTTCTGCATTATGGGATAATACAGGAACAGGAAAAACGGACTCCAAGAGCCGTAACAGTTGCAAGAGACTTAATTCCAAGACCTATGAGTACTGACTAACCACTGTTCAGTGGATTAGATATTTTACTGCTTTTCGCGCATTTGAATGGATATCCTACAGTCAGCAATTTCATCTGGGTGCATGTTTAGATAATCTGGATTCATCATGCAGCATCAGGCTTTATTGGTAAGAACCAGCACATTGCTTTGGGTTCAGAAACAAATGAGAAGCTGGTGCATTTGAGCAGCATGATATGATTTATAGAATATATACTAGAAAGCAATAATTACAGCATTTTGTGCAACATGCACTTTATAGACACTCCTTGAGCATGTTCTACAATGTACAAGGACCACGCATTGTGGGAATCAAACTGGAAAATCATTGTGGCCAGACTTGCCCTTTCCTGGACAAGTGGTATATCAAGTGAAGTTGGCCCAAGTTGTTGCATGCCACAGGAACCATATGGGCATCCAGTAAACATGCTTAGTCCAGAAGCACCCCAATCTGTAAACATGATCTTTCAGAGGAAGTGCATGCCCATCTAGACCATCATGTACTCCAGTTCCTGATTAATTTTTCTGGTGATCATTAGGACCTCAGTCTGCTCTGGACTGATCCTCACCTTTTTACTCTGCATCAGTTCTTCATTGCTTTCAAGGAATGGTTCATGGTTTCTAAAGCATCAATAATTGAAGAAAAAAGACAGAGCTTAGTGTCATGTATATAATGCTGAAAAGCAATCCCCAAACCCCAGATGATCTCTTCCACTGGTTTTATGTAGGCATTCAAAAGTAAAGGGATTAAGATGGAACTCTGACAAACTTCATAAGTCAGTAACTGAGGTCCATGCAATGACTCCCCATCCTTATACCACCTTCTAGAGCATTTAGCCCTATCCTGTATTAGCAAAATAGATATGGTGTCAAACACTGAGGAAAGGTCCAGAAGAATTGGCAGTACTCCCTTATCTACTTTCTAGTGTATGTCACTGAGGATGTTTCTGTTGAAGGCCTCCCTGAAAGTCAGTTAGTGGGACAGTTAAAGGATAGTTAAAGACTTCCCTTTCCCCGTCTTCACTCATTATCAGTTTTTTGGCCTCCCTTTTCCTTAATCCTATGGATCTAACTCAGGGTGTTCACATAGTTCTTGTATTTTCTGTGCTTTGAGAAAGAAATGTGCGATATCTGAAAATGCTGAGAAAATGGGCTGAACATAAGAGATTCATAGAAATGCAGTGTTGATATTGAGCTGTTCATAAAACTGTGTTTACAAAAAATAATAAATTCATATCAGATGACTTTCATGAACATAATCACAAAAGTCTCACTTTGATCCTGTTGGAACCATGGATTCAAAATTTTCTATATGTGAGAAATTCAGTTCATGTTCTGTAATTGGGATGTTGGTCTGTTACTGGCTTCACCATCCACTCATCAAATAATCAGTTAATCAATGGTATAACTGTTTGGCAGTTTCCTACTATATGATTAATGGTGCACTGTCATGCAAGCATCACAGTTCAAAGAAAATTCTGAGAACCTTTACAAAGAATTCACATGACCTACACAACCATCCTATGCTCTGCATCTTTGCAGTAAATCTCACTGTTTTCAATGAGGCTTATTCTTCAATATGTGTGGATAAAAGTATAGCTTTAAATAACGGCAATTATAGTTTAGCACATCTGACAAGCACCCAGTTAGGGAAGGTAACCTTAGACCTTGGAAAGATGTTTGTTCCAATACATTCTTACAAGCTGCCTATGCAGGAAAAGTCTTCACTCAGCTATTATTTCTGTTAGGAATTTTGTTTTGGTTTTGCATATTCAACTTGTACCAATATTAGAAGGAATATAAGTCAGTGCTTAGAACCAGATATCCCTTTCTTTTGTTTTGCTTGTCTAGGATGTGAGAATTGCTTCTTGTTCACCTGCTGTTAAGGGTTTATTATCTCTGATATTTTTATAAATGATATCTAGCATTAAAATACCAACAGCTATTAGTTGATTCATTCAGGGTTTATTCAAAAACTCTAAAAGTAGTCCTGGTGTGTTTCCAGGACATGATAATTGCTTCATGCATTTCATTAACAGTTCTTTCCACAAAGTTCTTTTAGTGATAATCAGTAGGTGGTCTGCTATTATTCATTTCTGACTGGATTATTTCATATGCATATTCATGCACAAGGCTGTAACAATTATAAGGCCAACAAGCAGAGACATCTAGTCACTGATTCTAATGCTTAATGAGAAATCCAATGATATAATCCCCTGTTAGTCTCTGGTACTATTTAATTTTATATGCCTTCAAAGTACATTAAAGACACAATCCAGTGAAGATGCCTTTGAACCCCCAAAGGCAGAGGACCATCGGCATCCTATGCAGGGTGGGAGGAATATGGAGGTCTTCACCTCCCTGCTGTTCTCACTCTGCCTGTCCGCTGGATGGTCAATTTCTAGCATCAAGCTATGGTACTTCAGGGAGAGAAGGAGCTAGACTGCCTCCAGGATACATTGTATCCTGGGCGAGTCTATCTTTTCCTATCCCTGCCCCCCAGAATGACCTTTTTTCCCCTTCCTTATGACATTGAGGAAGGAGCTGGCACAGGGTTTTGGCTGTAAAGAGGAGAGGACCACCGGAGGGTGGATTCCCAGCACCAAGCTCTTTTCCTGCCTCAGATCTGGGAATCCAAAACATCCTGTGCCCTTCAAGCTGCTGTCTGTGGACCACAGGATTGCAGTGCTGTGTATTCCTGAACAACTGAGATCTGTGCAGTTGAGTTTTTAGTTTTTATTGAGTTAGAAGATAGCAGCAGGGAATCCCCTGTTGGTTTGTGGCAGTAGTGAAAGCCCAGCTGTTGTTAATCTTAGATCATAACTAGCAGCACGGATGACAGCCTGGGATGGACTTGATTCACGCTGGGGAGAACAGCCACTTCTCACTGCAAGGCCAAGTTCTACCCTTTAAGAGCTGAGATAGAAGCAGAGATGTTGGGACTGTTCCCTATGCTCAGGCATGTCCCAACCCCACCACATCTCCCTGCTACAATCTTTGAGGTTACAGGATGAGTCCCAACCCCCGCTGCTATGTCTAATATCAGAGACAGCAGAAACAAGAAGTGGTGGGACTCATTCACATGGGGAAGAATCCTAATACTCAAATCGCCCTGCATTCTGGTTCCTGCCTCCTAGTTAAGCAGATGAGAGAAAGCTGTTCCAGCTGGGCTAGGGACTATTGGATATAAGCAATCATACTCCTAGAGAGCAAGCAGTCAGAGTGAGTGAACAGGGAACACTAACATGAGTTTGTCAGCAGAAGAGGACACTAACTCCCCCCCCCCCCCAGTTTGCTTCCCCCTTGGATTCTTCTTTGTAATACTCTCGCATTTTACTAATAGGATTGTGTTAACCTTCAGGGAAGACAGGAGGAAGCTCTAGTTTTTACAACAGGACGAGCAAGGTAGAATAAAAAAGGTAGCAGGAAGTATGGGCTGAGAAGACTCTCCTGTGCCAGTGGCCTGTAAGGTCTGTGTAATATTTGTCTTTTGCCTTAGCTCAACATGGCCTACAAGTGCAACAAGTAGCCCTGTTGGAAGAAAACATGAGAGTACTAGAGCACCGAGTGTCCACCCTCAAGGGAATAAGAAAAGACGAATAATTTTTAGACAGCACAGTGAAACTGCAACAGCTATGTGTAGTACAGGAGCTACAAATGCAACAACAAGCTTAGGCAGAAGGGGAGAACCCTGAGGTAAAGGGAAATGAGAAAACTCCCTAGAAAAGGATGACAGGAGCAGTAAACCTATAAGACACTCTGTACCAGTGGAAGCAATGGGACTATGAAATTGCTTTCAGGTATTTGAGGATGAGACTGGAGCATGCAGTTGAAGACATACAAGCCATCCTTGCAACATTGAGCCAAGAAGCTGAAGGTCAACAAAGTTGTGGCAATAATACCAAGGCTTGCAAGAACAAGAAGAGTGTTAATTGTGGGAGACTCCCTGATGCACGGGATGGAAATACATGCATGTGGTGAAGAGCCGTGGACTCATCAGGTATGCTGTCTCCCTGGAGGACAGATTAATGAAGGATTGCTGAGACTGAAACCCACTCACACATACACCTTTCCAGGTGGGAACAAATGACACTGTCAAGCAGAGATTTGAAGAAATCATGTCAAACTTTGAAGTTTTGGGGAGGAAAGTCAAGAACTTTGGGGCCCAAGAACTTTTTTTTTCAATCCTTTCAGTTCTTGGATGAGGAAGACAAGGTTCTGTTCCTTTTTGCCTAACATTTAAACATTGTGGAGAGATCTGTAATATCATCATTAAAGATAATGGTAGGTTGTTGTTAGTATTTGACTGGTTGTTATTGTTTTCAGTCATCATTATAATCTTTTTTTCTTTAGGCATTTGAGGCATCTGATGAAGGCAACAAAGGATATTTAAGCAGAGAGGACTACAAGGTTGCTGTAGTGATGCTTTTTGGCTATAAGCCCTCAAAGGTACTGTCTTGAGGCTGGGAAATACTGAATTGTAGGCTTATTTTGCCTAAATGTTGTAGGATTGCACCTTAAATCTTACATAGTTTAAGAAGCAAATCATCATTTTTTTCCAAAAATAATAGGAAAAATTGAGTGAACCAGCATCTCTAACTTGCATTGTCAATGTTGCTTATTTTAATGGGGTGCCTCAAGTAATGAATCTCACTCCAATAAAACACAATGGGTGTGCCCAATTTTTCCTATAATATTACTTATTTTAGCACTTACTGTGCACATAGGATCCTTACCACAGGAATTTAAGCCATCTGTTGTCAGGGGACAATGACAGTATAAAAGTTCTAGCTTTATACACTTTCTCAGAGGAGTAGTCATGCTATAAGTCCTCATTTGGGCACAGGTAGCCAAACCTTGATTACCCCAGCTGCCAGAATGGAGGCAGTTACGTTTTGTCTCAACTGCCTTGCCAGTAGGATTTCTTTTACTTTGATCATTAGAAATCAGTGAGATGTAGTTCACTCAACTTTTTAAATTTACAGTTTCTGCCTCAAAGCAGATCTTTCCCAATAGCATGTGTAGCCAGTTGGACTTTCCCATTTAAAGTATCCTTAGTTATCCAGCAAACAACAGTTGCACCCATCATGATCAATAACATAAAACATCTGGAGAGAATTATACTAGATTTTAAAAGATTGCCTAATTTCTATTCCCAAATCGTAACTGCATTTATATTGAAAACAGAAATAGTAAAATAAGTTCAAATAGGAATTGCAATAGGACCTCCCAGTCCTTATGAAGGATTGAGTTCACCCAATTTGGGATAGAAAATAAACCACCTTAGTTTATTTTCTCACCCATGCATGCTGGTCATGAGCCACTGTATGGGTGCAATTTGTTATGTCATCAGCCCCAGCTGTAGTGATGACTGGATGGGTTTACAAATCACCTTAGAACCCATGGTTTTTCTAGGGTTGTAATGTGGTTTGTAAATTACCCCTGCTCCCCACATGACAAAGCATGCACAGTGGGGTGGGGGGATTTATAGTAATTCTGTTGCATATAACAGGCATATGTGTGTCAGGAAAATAAGCTGTGGTGGTTTATTTTCCTTCTGCAGTTGTGCAGAGCCACCTAATGTATCATACCCTTAAAAGCAGAAAATAGATGAGAGGTGCTCAGAAACATTACATTAGTGCAAATTATTTTTAAAGATTAGATTTTCATAAAAGCTGTCAGTTCTGACATAATGCCAAACCTTTGGACAATCCTGTACTGGTCTCATTTTTCGTTATATTTATTTAAATAGTCTTCCCCTTGTGTGCTCTGATTCCCCTCATCTCTTATGAATTAGCAGCAAGCCATCAATTATAAAGCAAATATTGAAAATCTACTTCAAACTGCAGTTTGTAATCTTGCTTGTGTAAGCCTAGCCCAGCTAGAAACTAATATTAAACTGTTTTGCTACTAGATACACAGTCCTATGCATTTTTAGGCAGACAAAAGTTCTGTGCTAGCTGGAACATACTGGGAATTGTTGGATGTTTCTCTGCCTTAAAGTGCATAGGATTGCACCCTACATTGCAATGAACAAGGAAATGGAGCACATGGTTACTTTTGAACTGACCTGTTCTCTATCTGTGATGGCATGAACAAGTCAGTTACCAGGCACACCTGTGCCTGCACACAGAAATAGATGTTTCCTTTAACTGTACATTCTTTTTATACTAAATTAGTTTTGCACATAACCTAAGATAGCAATCCTGAGCTAACTTTTAGCACAATCTTACTCATTTCTTCTCAGAAATATCTCTCACTGAATTTGTTTGAGACCTACTTGAACAAAGTGGTTTCAAGTTAGCAGCCTTACCTGAAGTTTAAGTGCCATTGAATTCAGTGGGACTTCTCAGTATACATGAATGACATCTCCCCACCCAATACCCCGAGCTATCAAATGCTGTTTTAACAAATGAAAATATCTTTTGGGTTTAATCATATACATGCAGATGAATTTGATTCTTATCAATGCCTCTTGTTACCATGAGATGTCACTGTTAAATGCTTTTCTTAAGAGATCTGGCTTTGGAAAGTGATAATTTTAAAGTTTTTATTTATGTATTTATTTATTTATAGTTATTTCATTAGAAAATCTCAAATTGCAACTATATGTGAACTAACCCAGGATCATGTACCCCTGAATAGAGTACAATGCCATTCTGTGTGAATATGCTGAGGATTGTATTGCAGGTCTGTAAACTACAGTTGGGTTGTTTGACATTTGTTCTAACAGATGACATGGTTCTGGAGTAAATGAGTTGTGTATATTCTTTCAAAATAAGATTATCAGTGAAATTAGATTTTGTTTACATGTCATTTTATGACTTTTCCATAGGAAAAAGTTGCTAGATATACTGGTATCATTTAAATATGTCGTAAATGGACTGATTGGTACTAGAAATCCAAGCAAAGTGGTTGAGTTTTAGATGCATTTTTTATGTTTGTTCTTTCAAAAGCTAATATTATATATACCCTTTTATTACAAAATAATATATTATTTCTTTAGTAAATAAACAATTTTTGGGAAAACAATTTCCTCCTATTGAAAATAGTTTTGTGCTTATTACTATGGTAATTGACATATTTCAATCTATAGTTTGGAGAATATGGAGAAGACATTTTCTTCCTTTCTTATAAGACTAGAACCTGGGGTCACCCCATGAAGCTGATAGGTGGGAGATTTAGAACAGATAAAAGGTCTTCTTCACACTGCATAATTAATCTGTGAAATTTGCTGTCATAGAAAGTAGTGATGGTCACCAATTTGGATGACTTCAAAAAGGGATTGGGCAAATTCATGGAGGAGAAGCTAGCAATTGCATCTAACCTTGCTGGCTGTGTGCTACCTCTGTTTTCAGAGGCAGCATGCCTACATACACCAGTTACCAAGGAGCTTGAGCAGGCAGAACTCTCGTTAGTATCCTGCTTCAGAGATCCTGTGGGCAGCCGGTATGCCACCATGTGAATTGAGTCTGGGCTGGGTGGACACTGGTCCAATCCAGCATGGCTATTTTTATGATCTCATCTTGAAGTGGTTATAAAAACATCTAAATAGACATTCCATTATTGATGATATATCAGCATTGCATTGCTTCCAGTGCTATCCACATTAGGGAGGCCTATTTTGATCATCTTCATGTTTACTATAATACCACTGGGAAAAGAGCAGATAATGCCACCCTAATGGTATGCTCCACCAAAGCCAGTTCCACTTCCTTCCTCCCATGATCCTTTAAGTTACAAAGGTGCAATCCTCCAGTAGATGTTCCTCTTGCCAGGTAGCTCTGCAGAACCAGTAAGGAAGAGGAGATAGGCATCGGTCCCATTGTGGGAGTTTAAAATAATGCCACCACCTGGCAAAGTCAATTATCCCAAATATCTCCATGGAGTTACAGGCAACAGGATCAAGTGTGACTAAATGTGTACATTTAGTGTTTGTCTGCACTATTTTCTCTCCCAACCCCCTTACTGGGTATAATCCCACTTCCAGCTTAAAGGATCCTGTGGAAGTACAAGTGGAATTGAGTTTGAAAAGCACATGCTTAAGGGGATATGTGCACTGATCCTTTCTCAGCCCGCTTTGGGCCCCAAGACAAGGACAAGCAAATGGCAGCCTGCTTACATCAATTCATCCTAACTGTCAGTATTGCCAGTATTGTGGTCATGTGCAGGTATGTTGCTTTCTATTGGTAACTTTCACTGGCGGTGAAGATTATAGCAAACTGATATGGAAATCTAATATGGCTGCTTCAAAGCCAAAAGTTTTAGCAGGATGCCACCAATTTTGGCAGCAAACCAGCAGTGTTTTATCCATGCTTTGTCCAGAGGTGAGGACTGCATTTGTGCTCCCTGCACCTTCCAGAGTATTTAGACAGCCAATTTCAATCATGTAAACATTTTCCCTTGCAAGCAGGAGAGACTGAGCATCCCCAGGATTCTTTGGAGGAGGACATGGCTCCCCTCTCTACTCCTGGAAATACCTGTCCCCTTGTGCCCACCCCAAAGCTGATCCTCTGCCTTTGGAGCCCTGTTGCTATGGAAAGAACTATGCTGGCTGCGAGGGTGAAAGGAGGGCCCTCCAAGGTCAGTGCCCCAGCTCTGATCTTGTTTTTTTGAAGTTAGAGCTAGAATCTGGCTTATCCTGTGCCCCCCAGGCAATGTCAGGAGGTCTTACATTTGCCTTTTGGAAGTCATTAATTTCAGTGTTAGACTGTTACATATGTACTTAACCTTTCCAGCAAATTCAGCGGACAGCAGAGCACTTAACTTTAGCTGGAACATGCTCTCTGAACATGTATTATTTTTCAGATATCGGGAACCAACAGTTAAATTAAAATTTACTGTGTTTTAGGCCATTTTGATAGTTTTGCAGAAGCTGCTTATATACAAGTAGAGCATCAACTGAAAGAAATGTATTGGGTCATTTCTTCATACCATTTTCTCTATTTCAGGTGGAAGTGGATTCTATCATGGCCTCTGTGATGCAAAGTCAGCCTGGTACTACACCAGCTTCAAACTTTTCGTCTTTTAAACTATTCATAAAAGTATGACAGGATTTGAAAACAAGTGTTGGTAACTTTGATTAATAAATACTTGAAATGTACATTGGACTTTGCCTTGAATATATGTATTTTGGCTCATCTTTGGTAGTGACAGCCAATGTTAAACTAAACACTGTAGCAAAAGCATTGAATGTCTTTCAGTTCAAGGGCCAAAGTCAATTTCATAGAAGCTGTCTGGGTTCACATTCAAGTGATAGGTGGAGAAGACAGAAGGAGAGGGGCCGCAAATACTAAAAATTACATCTTATTTTAGTTTAGAGCATGGTAGCTACAGGAGAAATTAGGCAAAGGTGGCAGGGATGGGGGAGAGAATTTGTTGGGCAGAGCTGCAGAAAGGAGCTGTACCGCTCAGTTGATTCCCCTTCTGCCCCTTTCCATGCACCACAGTGAAGCACCTCACACTGCTCCTTGTGAGCCAGAGGGATGGGTGAGAAGCAGCTGGACAGTGCTACAGAAGGGAGTAGCACCACTCAAGTGATCCCCCCTCTGCCTCTTGCGTGTGCCAGTGTGAAGCTCCTTATTCATGCAGGGAACGCCTCTTTGGCAAGCCAGAGCAAGAAAGGTGGGACCAGTGCTGTCTCGCTTTCAGTGTTGCCACCCAGCTGCTTCTTGACCCTACTGCTGGCTCATTTGCACCTACAACGCTCTTCAGTCTAGCATGTGCCAAGGGACGGAGGGGGAATCGATTGAGCAGCATTACTCCTTTCTTCAGCACTGTGCAGCTACCCTTGTCCCTATGGCTGGCTTGGTGGGCACCTCGTTCTGGCATGTGCGAAGGGGTGGCATTCAATGCAGCATGCAGTGCCATCAGTGGGATGTAAGCCTGAGCAGACATGTATAAGATTGCACTGTAAGGCTGTAAAAAGCCTGTGCACAGTGATTTGTAAGTAATCTCCATTGAACATAGTTGGACCCACATCAGAGTAAAGATGCAGAGGATTGTGTTGCAAATGTGCTATACTGCTTAAATTACTGGAGAATTATGATATGTTTTATGTGACATATGTCCATTCCCCATTTTTCAAGGTCTATCACTTGAAAAGTTTCTAAATGTTATGAGTACAAAGAAGGCTGCACGTTTTTACCATAATGAAGTAAGGCAGCTATTCACTGCTTTTGACCGACAATGTAAGTTTTTCCTTCTTGTACAATATCTTTTTATTTAATGTCTTTTTGATGATAAGCTTGTGTATTGTTCCATTTTAACCCCACTCTTCTGAGAAGCTCAGTGAGGAAAGCTGCTTTTATCTTTCCATCACTACTATTAGAATAACTCTGTGGAAGGGAATCTGGCTGATAGTTACTGGTGCAAGTGCACCCAGTGAGCTTCAGAACCCGGCCAGTGAGCTTCAGAACCTGGGAAAATTGCAACTTGCTTCTTCCAAATCTGACACCGGGCAGTGGCCCCATTAGCTGAAAATGATGTGAGCCACAGTGCTAAACAAGGCATCAGGTTGGGGAAGATTGTCTACGTCACACTGGGTGTCTCTTCATTATGAGGCAGAGCTCAAGAGTTCCTAAGGCTGAGACTAATGCATTGCAATAGGAGTACTGCAACCCATAATATAGAAAGCATGGTTTACTGTATCTTCTGTTATGACTTGAGCCCTTAAGCAAATCTATGTGCAATAAGCAGTTCTAGAATTAAGTAACTGTGTTTGACACTTTGCACATTTAAAAAAATATCAGCAATGAGATGGATAGCCTTTCTCAGTGAGGTTTCTTATTTCTTTTTCTATTATTATGGAACCCTTGGTTCTAATAACATCAAAGAGCATCTTTAAGTCCTGGTTTATAAATGCAGTATTCTAAATATTTAAATGGTTTTCATCATGCACTTTTTGTTTGATTTGTTTATTTTCCTCTGACAAGGTAAAGGATTTTTATCGTTCGAAGACTTCAAAAAAGCCTTCAATATTGTTGCACCAAAGTTGCCAGAGAGGATCATCATTGAAGCATTCAGGTAAACAAACAGAATAATTTGGCTATAATGTTGCTGGTGTTATTCTAAAAAAAAGGAAGGAAGAGCAACAATTTAAAACAATAAAACATTAACACAACAAGAAAGCAACACTATGGTCCCTGGGCAAGCATCCCAGGGATCATAGGATACCTCAGAGTTCCTCCCTCAAGGTCAGCATTCCAGCCTCAGAAGGAGAGTCAAATATGAACCCTTACACTTTTGCAGCTGGCATGGAGAGAACTGCACTCTGAGGTTGGAAATACAACCCTAGACAAGGTGGTAAAGAGGGCATTACACTAGGTGGTGTGGGGAAGAGACCAGAGAAGTTAATGATATAACTCATCCTAAGTCCCCTCCATCCTACTTTCCTCTTCATCCAAAGAGTCCTTGCTAAGTGGTATAAGATGCTGTCTAGTGAAAAATCTAAGAATAGAGAATGGGGAGGCCAAAGTAGCCTCTTCTGTTCCTCCCATCCTTCCAGCTTCTGTCAAACATGACTCAAAAGTCCCTGCAGACATTTTGCCTCCTTGAAGTACCTTAGGGTAGTGACTGGCAACTGTTGGCCCTACAGTTGTTTTGGTTTACAACATCCAGTTTTCCAGCATAGCCAATGATGAGGGTTGATGGAAGATGTAGGCCAAAACATTTAGAAGGCCAAAAAGTGCCCACTTCTATCCAATTGGATAACAGAGGACTGTTTTCTTGGCCTCTGCACATGGAGGCATATGTTACATAGAATGGGACCCTTATACACACCTCCTGTAGCCCCACCCGGCTATCAGCCCACAGTCCTATTCCTTCCTACTTAAGGAAGTAGCAACAAAGAAACCAAGCTTTAAGAAGCTTGTTAAGATCCATACCGTGAAAATGGCAAGAATTAGGACAGCCTACTATTCGTTTTTATCTATCAACTGAATACCATCTATTTTATTAGTTTCTTTTATTTATTACATTTATATACTTCCCCATGGCCTGAAGGATTTCTGGGTGGTTTACAATAGTTAAAATTGGATGGATGGATGGACGGATGGATGGAAAATGTATGAAGATGTGATAGCACAGTACACTACACGGGTGATACAAGCCAAACTGAACATATTATTAGTGTTACTAATCATTATTTCAATTTATGTGCTGCTACATTAGCCCACACTTGGGATCTCTGAGCATCTTACATGCATTTAAAGCAACATAACGTTTAAAAAAATTTTAATACTAGAACATTAACAAAACATCCAAAAATATAAAAAAATCTAATTCACAAAGTAAAATCATTATATAAAAACTTTTAAATAATTTAAAATTAAAACTAAAAGCCAAGAATAGGGTCAGGTTAAAACCAAAATTTCATATGGAGTGCTCATGGATATAGAAAGTTCATGTTGTTATACGGCCTACCAAATCCTGTATGACACTAAAATATTTATATGGTACATTTAGAATAGATTAATTTAAATTCATATAAAAGGAGAATATTTCAAAATATTTCACTGTGCATTTTATGACTGAAGAGACATGGGGGAAAAGTGAGATAAATTTAAGCAATAAGTGCATAGGCTGTGTAATAAGTTTTAAGTGCTGCCGCTTTCTATTCTTGCTAAGCCTTTCCAGTTGTTGCAAAGTTTTGGCATGCAGGGAAAGCTCAAGGGGTATCATTAGTCAGAAAATGCTCTCTAGTGGAGTGCAGAACACAGGCTATTAAGAGATAGCATATTACATACTGGGCACTTAGGAATATCCATCACATTTAGACAAATAAAAGCAGTGGCTGCTTGCTGAGGACAGCACACATGAGCTGCTACTTGAGCATGTACATAAATGTATATGAAAAGTAGTATTGATATAGAGTTGTGCACTTCTGTTTTACAATGTGAAACTTTAGCATGTTGTTTGAAATAGTACTTATTTAATGGGAGTGTGGGGGAGTCTTGCAATTCATTATAAGCACAATGTATTTTAGAAGATATGTAGCATGAAACTTTTATCAGCTTGTACATTAATCTATAGAGCATGTGGAACACTGAAATGAATATAAATTGGCAATAGAGCTGTTTAACCATTTGGTGGTGCTAACTAGCCTTTTAAATGTAGTTAGTGAAAAAGGGATATAAATAATTTCAAACTACAATACATGGCTTTGATATTGTTTTATGGCAATTAGAATTTAGTCTGGCATGAGACTGCTTTTCAAAATAAATTCTTAACGTTTATAAACGTCTATAAATAAATTCTTCTCCCTCTGTTATGGGAGATGGTATACTTAAGTATGTCAATTACTGGGGAATATGAACAGAAAGGTGTTGTTGCACTCATATCCTGCTTGTGCTTCCCAAAGGCAATCAGTTGACAACTGTGTGAACAGAATACTGGAATAGATGGGCCCTTGTTCTGATCCAGGTGTGTCTTTGCTTTGCCAATGCTGCAGAAACATGGAAAACTGCTAACAATTTAGGTTTTGGAAGAGTTCAGTGCTAGTGTTGGCTCATCATTTGACCTAGATTCTAGAACATACTTTGGTATTGTAGCAGTGTAAATACATGTCAGCTTCTCTTTATGCTATCTCTTGTCCCACATCCAAATCACACATCAGTTGCTTAATTGCAGCCTTGGGGTAAAATACATAAATGTGCTGTGGTGTTGATACAACTTCCCTTCATCTTCCTCAGTTGCAAACTGACTTCTGTAATCAGTGTCCTTATGACAGAAATATAAAAAAGCAGAGAGTCAGTTCTGCCTGCTTTGGTAACACGGATAACTCAAATTTCTTCTTTCCAACAAATAAAATTGCTTGGTTTTTGCAAGTCAATAGCCATAGAGAGATCTTTTCAGTGGAAAAGATTGCATCAAGCAATGGAGTGACTTGTACAGCAATGGCAACCTTGTGCAGGACTTGTACAGGCACTGAGTACCTTTGCCTCTTTGAGGAACTGTCCTGAGCACCACCACAAAATGGCTTCCATGAGAAGCATGGCAGAGGACCAGTAACCTGCTGAAAAGACTTGAATGGAAGGCAGAGGTGCGATCTGAGCCCTAACATACTAAACAATCCCTTTGAACCTAGTTCAGCAGAAACCTAGTTTCTATTTTAAGTGAAAGCAGTAGGGCACCTTGGTACCTGTCAAGAAAGGTAACTGAAGTAATTGATGTCTGTGGGCACCATGTTGCCTATCCCTATTTCAGAGCCTGTGCATACTCCTTAAGAATTCGTATGTGCCTAAGCCTTCTGCACTAAGCACTGAAGATCAGTGGATGCAGCAAGTGTCTGCTACCTATTCCTGCATCCATGGTTTTCTGGCTCAGGATGCAAAATGAACATCAGTCAGATGCAAATAGTATATGCTATTGTGTTCTGGATTTGGTCCTGATTTACACATAGATGAATGGAGCCATACTGTACAGGCATACTAATGCCTGCATGGTTTTGTCCGTTCTGTTCCAAAATGACCTAATTGTTTCTTTTCTATAATTATTCAGTAATACAAAAATAACCTGGTTTTGCGTAACTATCTTTAGTCAAGATCTTGTGCTCTTTATGAAATTTTGATTTAGACATGTACTGCAGAGCAGTGTGAATATGAAACATTCATCTTCCCATGGCTAGTTGCCATGGGAACATAGTACACAGTGCAATGTCATTCCAGTTCTGGTGATGTCTGCAGTAGTTTTTCTTTGTTGTTTTCCTTTCTTAAGCAACTGTGTTGCAGTCTACATATTGAACTATTCATACAGCAACATGTACATGTAGTGTAGTGTATTCGTGGCAGAATATGCTCAGATGGCTAGCACATCCACCTGCATGTTTTTTTTCCCTAGAGCATAATTCTTGCTTGGGTCTATGCTGTTAAATTGAGGCCTTTGAATTGTGGTGCTGGAGGAGACTCCTGCGAGTCCCTTGGACTGCAAGGCGATCAAACCTGTCAGTCCTAGAGGAGATCAACCCTGACTGCTCTTTAGAAGGCCAGATACTGAAGATGAAACTCAAATACTTTGGCCACCTAATGAGAAGGAAGGACTCCCTGGAGAAGAGCCTAATGCTGGGAACAATAGATGGCAAAAGAAGAAGGGGACAGCAGAGGATGAGGTGGCTAGATGGAGTCACTGAAGCAGTCAGTGTGAGCTTAAGTGGGCTCTGGGGATGGTGGAGGACAGGAAGGCCTGGAGGAATGTTGTCCATGGGGTCGCATTGGGTCGGACACAGCTTTGTGACTAACAGCAACAAATGCTGTTAAAGTTGACATTTCTTACCATTTTGCTTCTATTGAATGAGATGCCGAATGTATCAGCCTATCCTTCAAAACATGTGCTCATCCCCTTAAAGAGGAATTTGTTAATAAAGCTTCAGTGAAAATTCCCTTCTCTTTTCTTGCAACATCCTGTATCCTTCCCTGGAGTAGATTATCCATCTGCTAGAGTGATATTTGCTAAGAAATTATCCACCGCCCATTCAGACATAGATAGGGTCATGGGCAAAGTACATCTGCAGCTGCAGGGGCAGAGAAGTGTTTTCATTTTCACATACTGAATGTATTTTTGTTATGATCACTATTTCTCACTTGTTTGTCAACAATTGGAGACCATACTCCTTTCTTCATCTCATATTACATCCTCTATTTGGCTGTTTACATACACCTTGCAAGTTCCACCACTGAAGAATTGTGTTGACCAGACTCTTTCCTTTCCCTTTTCTCTCAGACAAGCACTATTTGCTTCCAGGTAGTCAAGGTTCACTATATGGCAAAGCAAGGTGGTAAGAATGAAGGAAAAAGTGGAGATGTGGATACTTTTTGCCCTCCCTCTCCATGCTAGAACCCAGTGGGGTAATTGCATGAAGCTGATTGGTGGGAGATTCAGGACAAATAAAAGGAATAACATTTTCAAATAGTTAACTGTTAGACTATGGGGTTCACTTCCACAAGATGTAGTTATGACCACCAGTCTAGATGATTTTAAAAGGGTACTGGAAAAATATACTGAGGATATGGCTATTAATGGCTTTATGC